GAAAATGTGGCTTTTCCTGTCTCTCCATCATCCAGTACTTTTTCTTGGAAATCTGAGTAGGCAGGGCAACGGGCAACTGTTCCATTTTTGACTGGTTTAGGCTTAGGCTTAAATTATTGTTACAGTTTTCAAACAGTTTGGATGATTGGGAGGGACACTTATCCAAAACATATTTCCTAATCCAACAGTTGACTATATTAGATCATATGAACACAACCCATGGAATTTCTCAGCATGCAGCAAAATAGAAGATCAATCTTTTGGCTAATAACTACCTGTACATTGGGTTCAGATCTCAGACTAAACCTTCAGGTGATCAGATTAACCATATCATAAAACCATAAAATGTAAGATTAAATAGTAACATCAACAATCCCACCATCAACATATTCAGTAACACACCCCAAAAAGTTAAGATTCCAAAACTCAATGAAAGACAATAGTTAACAGGGAGGAGGACTTCTATTTTGGGACAGGATATTCTCTATGGCTGCACTCCATTGACTTTCTATTCATTTAGCTTCACAATATGATTTCCCAACTCAAATGTGGGAATGTGGGAGTTTCCTAGAATAGTCCCAAAGTTCCTGCATAATTCAAGAAACATTCTTGGATCAGCAGATAGGAATAGATTGTTTAGGAGCAATCACACTCAATACCCATGCCAGCTCTGAATTCCAATAGTCGATTAGGGACATAGTGAAATTAGATAATTGATTACCCAAGTATAAGGCACCTGGGGCGGGGCATCTTAATGGTTCCTGCACCATATGGAGGCCAGAGGTACTAAATGTCAGGATGACCAAAAAGTGATCTGACCATGATGAAATATTAGTAGAAATGTCTTCTACCTTCAGACTGAAATATCTGCTCCCAAGATAAAAACCAGATCAAGCATACAGGCACCGGTATGAGTTGGGTCAGTTTCAATTTGGGACAATTCCATGAACTCCTGGACCATTCTGTCTCCCATAGCTAGGACATGAAGATTAAAATCCTTTAGCACAAATAGCTGCGATCGTAAGCATTTTTCCTTTCAGCATGATGTTGTATGCAAGTGTGTAAGAGACAGAGTTTGCATTACAGACAAGTTTGGTCTTATGATTCCAGATAATACATATGATAGAATGGGGGAAATTAATCACCAGACCAGAGATGAGACCAGGATGTCCAGGAAATGCTATGATGTGAAAGTTCTATCTGTGAAGAATGCAGTTCAGAGGACTTACAGCTTCCTCTTCCCAATTACCAGCAACTATCCTATCGTCAGGATCCTATTGTTGTTATTATCATCATCATTATTATCCTATCCTATGCTACATATAAGATATTTGGGAGGTTTACTACCTGGAAAGAAAGGACATGTAATAAATAAAGTCCACGGTTTTGTGCAGGGCTTTTTTTCTCATAGAACGCCCAGAATGGAGTTCTGGCACCTTTTTTGGGTGGAACCTTGTAGGATAGGCAAGGCGGGTTGTATGACGTGTGAGTTCCGCCACTTTTTTTTTTTTTAGAAAAAAAGCACTGGTTTCGTGAACCAAGGAGTAGCCTGCATTACAACTTCATCTTCCATGTTAATACATCATCAGCAGGCCAGGTAATGTGTACTAGAATTTGAGAGAATTTGTAGTGTATAAATTGTAGTTGACGGCTTATTGTGTCAAAGTGTACCCACCAAATAAACCATTAATAAACCATGATTTAATACAGTGCTTACCCCAAGTCATACCTTTTTTTATATTTCATGTATTTCACTTGGTCTCTTAATTCTTGATCATTAACAGATGTTTCCAATTTGGGTTTATAGAGAAATTAGAATATATGGCTTGGTTTATACAATGGAACGGCTCGAAATATTTTTTTATTTCCTCATGGTTTGGGAAGTTATATAAACCTAGACACCTCTGATTTTTAATAAACCATTATTAAAATAAGATTTAATATCCTAAGTGAAAATGCCCTAGATTCACATATTATTTTGAATCATAAATTATGATGTAGTGTAGAAATAACTGAACTGGTTAGAAAGAAATTAAAGGCAGCCTAATCCCAAATATCAAATATGTCATGCTGAAGTGGGCATAACCTTTAAATTAGTTTTAGTCTTAACTTGTTCTCCAAACTTGAGTTGATCATTATTTTAGGTTCAGAGAGATGAGAACTTGTATTGTAGGTTACATTTTGGTTAAAATTCTGATTTGCAAAATCCCCATATGTAGGATTACCAGATCTGGCTTTCCCAAATCCAAATGACCACTAGAAGGCACAAAGAAATATAGAAAACTCTAACTCTACTGCCATCTAATGGTCATCCAGATTTTTGTGACTCAAATTTAGTGGGCCCTTCAGATTTAGATGACATAGGAAACTACTGGTCATTGCAATAAACATCTTGAACCTTTTGGAAAATGCAATGGCTAAGATAGTTCCATTTTCTGATTAAATCCTTGTTGAACTCCCTGTAGAAAGGGAGTTCCCAAAATTTATAGGCAGTTTAATTACCAGACACTTGGTCAATATTGCCCTATCATATTGGAGGAATGCTGTGTTATGCTACGACACTATGATTTATGCCAATGGTGCTCCACCTATGCCTTGCCATAGACATATCAATACATGCAGTTCTTTCCCAATCAGGTGTGTGTTTGCTGGGTTAATTTTGCAAATCCCCCCCCCCATGATATCATTCTTCTCCAATCTAATGACTTTTAGAGTATTACTACTCCCAGAATTAAGATAATTCTGGAAGCTGCAGTCTCAAAACTCCTGGAGGGCATCAGACTGGAACTTGTAGCTAAAGTCTTACCATTGTGGCTCAGACTATTATCTCTTATAAGAAATCTTCTCCTTTAAATTTCAACCAATATACAGAATATCTAAATATTTTTAGATGTCTTTAATGTTCAGATTTCCTACTGCCATGATACTATCTTGTCTTGCAATGAGGCCACTTAACTATTATACAGAAGATGCTATTAATGTTTAAGATGAGCTATATAAATAGTAGGTATCATGCTGATGCACACATGCTTTAGAAAACAGTTGGGAATTGTACTACTTTCCACAAGTCACACTTTCATAGTAGGCACTGTCTACTCTAAAGCATGCTTTTGGAAAATGTGTTTATTCTAGTTCAACTGGTCTGTACTAAAAGGGAATCAGAGTGGGCAGAAAACAATAAACCACTGGTTTCCCGTCTTCAGTGGCATGCATTCCTCTGAACTATATATACAGTACACATTGTTTCACAGTGCCTTCCTTCGCTTACTCAGCAATTGCTCTAGACTCTCCCAGATCTCAGTGAAGTGAGTAACATCCCTTAAGGAAGACCTGATTACAATGTGATACCTAAATCCAAGTGCAGGAATGCAGCCAAATGAGTGTTGCTTCACAAGGCACATGGCATTTAATGAGACTCTTGAGCAGACAGCATGGAACATATTAAAGTGGGGGTAAGCAACCTATGTTTAGACTACAATTCTTACATTCCCTTGTCATTAGCCAGGATGCTGGAGTTCATGGGAGCTCAGAGCACTCCACAGAGAATAAAATAGCTCCTCCATGTTCATTTATTTTTTAAAAAGGGAAGTTAGTATTCTCCAGATATGCTGAGTTCAACAATTCCTTCATTAACACATCAGGAAGCCACCAGTTTGAGGAAAGCTGCTTTTAAGACAATGATGTGGCCTAGGGCAGGGGTCCCCAACCCCCAGTCCATGGACCAGTACTGGGCTGCGGCATGCCAGCAACCAGTCTGCACAAACAAGCAAAGCCCCGTCCCCAGGGTGCAGGCAGCACCCAAAACCATACACCCTCTGGTCTGCGGAAAAATTGCTCTCCATGGAACCAGTCCCTGGTGCCCAAAAGGTTGGGGACCTCTGGACTAGAGAGAGGAGGAAGCAACTTTTGCTTGCATAACAAGGAAACAGCTTTTGATGAGATACAATTTGAAAATTCCATATAACATAGCTTACTCTTAAAGTAAGTATAGATCCTGGTTTATCTTTACATCAGCATTTTTCAACCTCAGCAACTTTAAGATAGTTGAATTTCAGCTCCCAGAACTCTCCAGCCACCATGTTTGGGTGATGTTGATGAAAGCTACTTTAGATTAAGAATAAATCCCTGAAAAGATCATTTTAAATATCACTTTCAGAGTAGCCAAATTAGCGTAACAAAGCATTTGATTCTATAAACCAGAAATTCATTTCCTCCAGGTGCTCTACTACTCCACAATCACTTACTGTTTGATATTGGTCAGGATTATAGACATATGAAGTATAAAACACTTGGATGTTACAATACTGCTAACCAAAAGAGGGATGGATATGCAGATTTCTAATTATGCTGTTACTTTCATTACCAGCCAACCTGATGGGATTTGAAATCCAACAAATTCTGGAGGAGTGTATGATGTTCAAACCTGTTGAAGAGTGATAATTGAGATGCACCCCCTCTCCCATTTGAGCACTTTTTGACAGCATGGCTGGCAGCACAAAAGTATTAGATAGCATATGTGTGTGAATAGTGATCAAAAATATTATCAGTGATTTTTCAAAACAGGATGATGTTTGCTACTGTAAGGAGGAAAAATTCGGGAGAAAAGATAAAGAACGATTGCACTGGAGAAGGTCCACTCTTATTCTGAAAAAATATCAGCGAACAAAAATTCTTTTTTCATTTCATTACGATTTTTTGTCAACTCTACTTGGCAGTTGTGGTGAAGGGGGACGAGCAGAGCTTCTTATCACACATCACGTTAAAACATCACGTTTTTCATGAATACTCCCTCTTTCCACTTTGTTATGCTTAAGCTTCAGCAACTCTCCGGCCAAACGGGAGCGAGAAAAATAATACGCAAAGTCACTGCTTAAGGATGCAGCTTGACGAAAAGATGCGCAAGCGCAAAAAAAAAATGTAGAGGGAACTACAACTCCCTGCCACCCTTGCGTTCAAGTCCTGTAACGAAGCCCAGTGCAATGTGCCTGCTATTGCTGCAGCAGCAGTAGAAAGTGTGTCACTGGGACACGAGGCTCTCCCTAGGAGTCACATGGTGGATGTTCCTGAGCCGCGTGTTGGTGTCTGCGCAGTTGCAAGGAGAGAGTGAGCTTTGGCAGATTAACATTTTGCAGGAGAAGAGAGAGGCAGTGGCATAATCGAGCTCCGGCTGGCGTGAGAGAATCTTTGCACGCGCAGTCAAGCTCCAGTTCTTTCCCATCTAAGTGCCGGTGCAAATTACGAAGTTTAAAGAAGCAAATCGCCATCATCCCGTGCAAGCATTGCAACATAACTTCGGGCAGGGGGGAAAAAAGAAAGAGGAGAGGAAGAGAGCAGTTCTTTGCTTTCCTCCCTCCTCACTAATCGAATCTCAACTTGCATCATCGCTTGATATGAATGACAACTATCATCTGAACAGAATGGCGACTTTGGATGACAACAACAACGCTCCAGGTAAGCCCCTGCTTTTCATCTATCCGATTCCCACATCGATTTAATTTTCCCGTATTAAAAAAACGACGCTTTAACCTTCCTCATTCGCACATGTACTCTTGATACCTTTTGTGTGGGATAAAGCCCAGTCTCAGAGCTCAGCCTCCTTCTCCGATACGTTTGGTTTGTGCAATAGCACCCCAGCTAATCGGAGTCTGTTTTGTCAGAATAAGCTGGAAGGATACGCAGGGATCACACCTACCCAAATAGGGTGTTTATTTATGAAGAAGTTGCTTCTGAAGGAGTCTTTCCGAACCGCCATCCCACAGAATATACTTTGGGAAGTGGGAGGAAAGTCCGGAGGAAAATCGCTTAGATCCTCTCTTCTAGCCTGTTCCCATCTCCCGGTCAAAAATCATTAATTTGCCAGACGTGCACTGTGGCTCCCTCTTGGGGATCGGTAGAAAAGGGAGTAAAAAATTAAGTATCAGTTTTAAGGGAGGAGATCAACCTCCTCTTAATGAAAGTGTAGAGCTAAGCACTTGGGTCACTAATAGTCGCAGGCGGCGCCCTCTCTTGTCCTTTGAATTGAGGGGCCGATGGCGAATTAGGGCAGTCCGGAAGAAAAAGGAGCTGTTTTGCTTTCCTGTTGCGGCTCACAATTATTTTTCAATGTAATTTCGTCTGAGAGAATCAGGAAATTCGTTATCTCCTTCTCGATATTCTCCCCGCGCAGCTATGTTATCGCCCTGAGATGTCGCTCCCAGGGACCTTCCACCTCCCCCCCCCCAACGTTTGAAATCGCGTTGCCCCATTCTGGAATCCCACCCTTTTTTGGGATTCCCCCAGTGTGAGTCTCACGTGTCCTCTGTTCGGACTCAGCCACGTGCAAAGTTTGTTTTCCTCACCAGCTCCGCCCCTACCACCCATTGGCCTATCCCGCCTCAATTATATCTTTAACCACGCCTATTTTCGAAGTCATCATTCGGGAAGAAACAGTGTCCTGTCTCCTCCCTCCTGGGTGGGCCTTCTGATGGTCTTTGCTCGCGGGTGGAGGAGGAATCGGAACCAATGGAGGATGAGGGGAAGGGCAAAGCGTGAGGGGCGGAGCTGAGACAGAGAGGAGGGCAGGGGAACCATGTGAGAACGGGACACGTTGGGGAGACTCGTCAGACCTGCCAAGCTTATTGGTGCGTCTCCTATTCATTAAAATCAGTGAGGAACGGCGCTAGATCTTTGGGGCATATGAAAATTTTGATTAAGTCATGAGGCCAGTCCGAATGCCAACTGCGTGAGTGGAACCTGCCTGTTTTCTGCATCTTGGGATGTGCCCAGATAAACTAAAAATTAAATCATACGAGCATTTCAACCCTTGAACCTCTTCATTTTATTCTGAGACTAATCTGTCCCTACCACCACCACTAACCGCACCAGATGGCAGCCCCTAGCTAACCTTGATTAACTGTATAATCTAGGGTTACCCACTCCCGCTCTGTTGACCAGTACCGGGCCGCAGCATGCCAACAATTGGGCCGCAAACCAGTCCCTAGTGCCCAAAAGGTTGGGGACCTCTGGTATAAGCTGCTATAAAACTGCCAAGGAAAGTTTATGAACATAGTTGCAAGTAGCTGAACTTGATGCAAGATATGTTGCATTTGTTTTAAGGTAACTGTCATCACAATACAAGAGAAATAGATTCATTGAGGGGATTTCCTGAGTTATCCATATTGCTGGATTGTAAATTTCTTTAGCAATGAAACCTACTGGGATTGGGGTTGTCCACACCCCATATAATTGCACTCGTTTATATTCAGTATATTAGGGTTTGGTTTCTTTCTGAAAGTGGTTTGTATATATGTATATATGTTTAATAGTAATCTGTTATAATAAGTGATCAAATTCCCCTTTTCCTGCACATATATTTGTAGTGATGTCTTTATATCCAAATAGCTCTTACGCAGTTTTATTGCAAGCTTTCCATTGAGACTAATTCATACTAGTTTGTCCTCATGAAGTGAACAAATTGACAACTTCTAGCTTTGTATCCAAGACTAACATGTTGGCACTGCTCCAATATTATCTATACTCTCCATTTGGGTGACATATATTACAAGCAGACATGACACACCTTTCCCTTCTTTAGACCCATTTGGAAGTTCTCCAGCTTGATGTGCTCGTAACTTTCAGTGCTGTCTTGTGCCTTCAAGCATTATTTATTCTCTATGACTCACCTGGTATGGTCTGTTTTAATATTCCTGGGAGGGACAGCTGCACATGTGCACAGCTTCCTCCTGCTCCACCCTTCATGGTGTGATCTGGCAGATTTTCAAACCCTGCTGCTTACCTGTTAAACAAATAGAGAAGGAAGTGTGTTGTAAAGGAGAGAACAGCAGCGGAGGAGAAAAAAGGTCCTCGATCCTACAATTTGGCAGGAGTTCCCTTAGATCCAAATCAGAGACAAGATGATAAAGATGTTTGCCTTAACCAGCCAAGGGAGTTTTGGCTGCTTTCCAGGTCTCCCTGGCAGTTCTTAATTCAACTAGACACTTAACTGAAACTATCTTCATCTTATTTGTCCTTGATAACATTCCTGGTCATTATGCTTAAATTCAGAGATTGTCAAAAGTTTCAGATTAATACTGGGCTGCAGGGCATTTGGAGCAGTCTAAACCAGGAATAGTGAAATTGCTTTTGGGATGTTTGTTGTCTTTAAAGTTACTGAGAATTTCCTTTGGCTGCAGTAATTGGTGCTTTTTTTAAACAACAACAACAGAGATCATCTAGTCCAACACCCTGCTCAGTCAGGAAACCCTATACCAAGGCTTTTCAATCTTTTCACCCATTGTACCACTTTTAGGATATGGCAATATCCAAGTACCACCAGTCACCTAGCAAAGTGTCAAAAACTTGATGACCCCCCCAAAAAAGGAAAAAAGTGATAAAGTACAGGTAATTCTCAACTTACAACAGTTTGCTTAATGACTGTTCGAAGTTACAGTGGCACTGGAAAAAGTGCCCCCCAAGCCACAGCCGAGCAAGACACCTGCCTGCCCGCTCAATGGCGTTCTTCCTGCTGTCCAAGGTTTTCATTGTTGTGAGCATTTCTGTTGAGCAGCAGGGTTGGGGGGGGAGTTTAGCTTTTATTCCCCCCCCCCATCTGCTGGGTGGTTGCAGCAGGTTTTGATCACTTCACATGACACTGTGACCGTCATAAATATGAATCAGTTGCCAAGTATCTGAATGTAAATCACAAGACCCTGGAGATGCTGCAACATTCTAGCTGATTGATGCTTCTTCAGGGCTCAGCAGAAGCACCAGGATCAGTGCCAAGCTCCAGCTGGAGCCTGGCGCGAATCCTAGTGCTTCCACTGAGCCCTGACAGCCCTGCAGCTCCAGCCATCTCTCATTCAGGCTTGTGCGGTGCTGCCACTAGTTCAGCTCATTCCCTTCCCCCACTACTACTTTTCTAAGATGGTCGCGTACCACCTGTCAGATGCTAATGTACCACAGGTGGTACCCGTACCACTGGTTGAAAAGCCCTGCCATATACTATTTCAGACAAATGGCTGTCCAGTCTCTTCTTAAAAACTTCCAGTGTTGGAGCATTCACAGCTTCTGGAGGCAGGTTGTTCCACTGATAAATTGTTCCAACTGTCAGGAAATTTCTCCTAGTTTGCTTCTCTCTTTGGCTAGTTTCCATCTGTTGCTTCTTGTCCTGCCTTCAAGTGCTTTGGAGAATAGCTTGACTCCCTCTTCTTTGTGGCAGCCCCTGAGATATTGGAATACTGCTATCATGTCACCCCTAATTCTTCTCTTCATTAAACTAGACATACCCAATTCCAGCAACCATTCCTTATATGTTTTAGCCTCCAGTCTCCAGTTTCTGATAAGAAATGTCATTCATAAGCCACCCCACTCCTCACCCCATTTTGCAGCCTTCTGATATCAGTTGACACTTAGATTGCCATTTTTATTTTCTGCAGCTGCAAAAGGAAAAAAAGCCCTCTCATTTCCCCACTTACTCTCATTGAAACCTCATTTCTGCAGAACCAGTGGCAAATTAGTGGATAAGCAGGTTGCCTCTGCCTCATTAAATATGGAGAAAAAGTCCCTTATAATGTAAGAGGTACAAATGAATGAAAGGAGTCCCATTTGTGGAGCCCCTATTCTGATCTTCCTTGTTGTCTAAGAAGGTTAAGATCTAGATTAAAAGTTACAATTTCAACAGGATCAGGAATCCAGTTTCCAGGTGCATTGAGAGTTAGAGGATACTTACTAGGATTTTTTTTTAACCTAATTGGTATTTGGGAGTATAAGGGAATGTCGTGTGTGTGTGTGTGTGTGTGTGTGTGTGTGTGTGTGTGTGTGTGTGTGTGTGTGTGTAGGAATGCCTGAAATGAGTTTATATTATCCATAACACTAGAATTGGAGAGGGGGTGGTGGTGGATGTTTCAGATACAAGAAATTCAGTAATGCAGGCAGTACAGCAAATAAAAAAAATAGATGCAACTTCTAAAATATGCCTAGGCATATTTATTTATTTTTTTAGGCAGTAAAGTACTACAGAGATTTTTTTTTCTGAAGAAGGATTCTTCGCTAATCCCAGTTTTGGATGGAAAATATTTTGTGGGGGCAGTTGGGGGGGGAAAGTATCTTGCATTATGATACTAAAAGAGTAGTACAAGGGTAGAAGACCTTAGCTAGGAGGTCTTGTCTTGATTAAGGCAGGTGACATCTTAACCTTTTTTGATGATGTAGAGCAGCCAAACATAGGTAGCAAGTTCTAGCAGTTCAGCCTTCTCAAATGGGATGCATTTCAGGTATGTTGGGACTGCAGATCCAGAAATCCCTGCCAAGACCTCAGTTTGGGAAAGGCTAAATTAATTCATGCCCTTCCTCTTCTCTGTTGGCAAAGGAGAATGCCTTTGGATTGCCAGGCATAACTGGTATTGTTTCAGTTTCTCCTAAGCAAGTAGTCCCAGCTCTTGGGCTGCACTTAATAACTGAGCTGGCAGAGATAAAGCTTGGCAGTCCCAGCCAAGCCTGGCTTGTTGTCCAAAGCCTACCTGGGCATCGAATGTGCTTCTCCCACGTGATCTTGTTTATAATCCTTCCGGTATGGATAATTTTGTTTTTGTTGCTCCAAGATTCCTTGGCAGTAATACTTGCTTCCTGGCAAGTAGCGCAGTTCTGAAACCTTTTTGAAAGTCTTTTCTTAATCACCAGGTTCCCAATTTAATTGGTCTTTTAGATATGATGGATTTTTTTAAAAGAAATAATTATTTTGGCTTCCACCTGTTTTTCAGTGAAATTTTGGCTGCCTGATTCATTGCTATAAATTGTTTGCTTTTTCATATCCCACCCCACCCCACCCCCATTTGCAGTTTACTATATAGGTCAGCATCTGAAAGCAGAAAGAATTGGATTGCAAAATAAATAATTTTGGTGAGATGAGTTCAGAGTTCGCAGCTAGGAAATAAATTTTATAAAGTTTTATCCAGATGTGTTTGGGAAGAAAAGTCTGCCACACTTCCCATACACTGGGCTGCTTTGTTTTCCTGCTCCTAAGTTTATTTACAGTAGTGCTGTTGTAATTCATCCTCGTCCAGTTTCTAGTACATGGACACTGTGTTCCCATTCACTGTTCTGCCACATTTTATGCAAGTTGATTGTCCATATTGTAAACTGATTCACTAATTGCCACTAATTGGGTATATGATGATACACACAAATAGTATGATATGAGAGGCATATAGGAAGGAAATAAATTTTGTAGTTGCAGATGATGAGAGTTGACATTCCTTTCTTAAAGTAAATGTCTATGGAGATTCTCAGTCATTCAAGTCTGGTTGTCTCAAAGATGCTTTTTGAAGAGGCAACTGGACTTTTTTGTTTTTCTTTCCTTCCATTCCCCACCATCCAGTCAGAGCTGAGATGAGAAGCGAAATGGCTTCAAAGAAAAATAAATCCAGTTGCCTTTTGAAAAAGCACCTTTGAGACTTTTTTAAAGTATAATGCTAGCTAGAGATGATTACCCTTGATAAGCAAAAATGCTTCTGTATTTCAGGATAAATGCTTGAAACAGAGTTGATTCAGTAGATAAGAAGCAAGGAAAAACTCTCATAGAAATTTAAAGTTTGGAAGGTATCTGGAAGCCATCTAATCTAAAAGCCTGTGTGCTACAATAATCTTACTAAAGCATCCTTGAATGGTGGGCATGTCAGTCTTCCAGACATTTATTCATCTGGCTGAGATGGAATGTAAAGTATTCTCATGGAATTCTTGCCTTACATATATGACTCAGTAGATCTAGATTGCTAGCTGTATATGAAATAGGGAAGCAATTTAATCCCAAGTCAATCCTTTGATGTATGTGGGAGTCTTTGTATTATTACCCTTAGCAGCTTGCTAAGTCTTCAGCTATTTGTTCACTAAACATTTCTTGAACCACATTGCCTCTCTGCTAGTATAATAAATGAAATATTTTCTTTTCTCAAATACATTCAGAAATGCACAATGTTCTTTTTTTAGTAGTGGTTTTCTAAGATAAAGTTCAGCATTTGGCAAGGTGTTTCTGTCTCTTCTCTTTCTCCTTTCCTTTTTCTTCTGCATTTCTAAAACCTGTTTCTTTGGTCACTTCCCTAATCTGAACTCTCCTAGTGTGCAAAAATGGCCCTTCCCAGAATTCCTAGCCTGAATGGCTAGAGCAGTGTTTCTCAACCTTGACTACTTTAAGATGTGTGGACTTCAATTCCCAGACTTTCTAGATGAGCACGCTGGCGGGGAAATTCTGGGAGTTGAAGTCCATACATCTTAAACTAGTCAAGGTTCAGAAACACTGGGCTAGAGGTATTTTGGGAAATGCAGTCCTGACACATTTGGAAGTGCCAGATGAGGAAAGGCTGTCTTAGCCTGGAAGCCTACAAGACTTCTGTTTTTAAAACACAGTTACAATAATCTTAAATGAAAATCCTCTTGAAAGGGTTTTATTTATTAGATATATGCCCTTCAAAATGTGTGGACTTAAACTCCCAGAATTCCCCAGCCAGCATGTTGGGGGACTTTGGGTAACCTTCAAGGGGCAGGTTCTAAGGTGTTTAGAATTTTTAGGATCAGTATCAGTACTTGAAATATGTGGTATGGTGGTGCAGTGGTTAGAATGCAGCATTGCAGGCTGACTCTGCCCACTGCCAGGAGTTCAATCCTGATTGGCTCAAGTTTGATTCAGCCTTCCATCCTTCTGAGGTCGGTAAAATGAGGACCCAGATTGTTGGGGGCAAATATGCTCTATAAACTGCTTAGAGCAGCAGTGTCAAACTGCTGGCCTGTAGGCCAGATGTGTAATGCAGAAGCCACGCCCACCCCATTGCTGGCAATGGCAAAACTCTCCCAGTACATTGCGCGATGTCACGTGACATCATGAGTTTGACATGTCTGGCCTTTAGAGAATACTATAAAGTACCATGAAGCAGTATAGGAGTTCTATTACTATTGCTATTGAAATATGTCCACTAGAAGTATGTCAGGAGTATCTCACAGGATCTGTATCTTGTAACCGTGTTCAGGTGCAGCATTTTGAGTCAGCATAGTTTTTAGAATTTAGCAAGGAGAGGACATGTTGTAGTAATCAAGGAGATATTGCAAAGGCATGTAAAGTGCCAAGATTCTCTTCGTCACTGCACTGTTGATGAATCCAGTGGCAGCTGAGTATCAAACCTGTTCATTCAGTGGGAGAGCAACTGTATTTAAAACAGAACTCCAATTCACTGGTCCCTTTTTATGTCTTGTCAGCATCTTGGTTTTGTTGGATTTAATTTCAGTTTGTTTTCCATTACCCCACCAGATGCTACCTAGCATATGATGAGTTTCTTCTTTAAAAGATTTATGGTAACTTTTTGAGGTGAAGCAGTTGGAATTACATACTGTATTTTATAATCTGTTCCACCATTGACAGATTTACTCTGGAGGGTGAGAGATTACTATCTGTTGACAATCCCATGTATCCTTAACTATGGGGTCAGGGTAGAACCTCAGATTCGGCTCCAAAAGGTTTTTTGGCATATTGATGATCCTGGGATTAGTCTTCATAGCCCCAACTTTATATAGAATAGCATAACAAGCAGCTGCTTTGAGGTGTGTCATATGGGGCCACATTCATACCTGGATGCAATTCTAAGGATCTTTTGGTGGTAGAACCCAGGTACTGTATAGCCCTCAGAATGCATGATCTAGATTATTATGATCAGTTGGAATTTATGAGCAGAGGATAGTAAGTAACTGATCCTGGGTACACTTTAAAAAAGAAGACTGAATCTATTTTAATAATGGGATGGAATACCACTAGAAAATCCCAGGGCTGTATACAAGTCTGAGAAATAGAAGAGATTATTGTGACAAACCATTTTTGTATTATTCTCAAAAGAACTATGTGAATATGTCAGAGTAGCTGCCAGCAGTCAAGCTTGATTCAGTGGAATGTTTGCCATTTTGTTTATCTGAGAGAAAGGCTGCTCCAATATTTTAGTTTACTTTTGTCCGATATGAGCTCTACAGCTTCATGTTGTCAGGGGGATTACTTGCAACAGTGAAATTTAAAAATCTATCCTATTTCTAAGATGGTTAACAGTTTGTCAAGCTTCACCTAGATGGCATATTAGAGACATCCAGTTACCTGCCAGAAACAATCAATTGGGAGACTATGCAAGTGCTCTAGGGTAAGAGACTATCAGATTTTTTTTCTTTTTCTTTATGCAGGTGGTGTGATCAGTTACATTGGTTCAAATGGATCTTCCCCAAGTTGCACCAGTCCCATTTCTTTGTGTGGCAGTGACAGTTTGAATGGCAGCTGCCAACTGTCATCCCATCCAGCGTTTCCCAACTACTTCCCACCTTCGCCCACTGGATCTCTGGTGAAAGATTCTGGACGTCTCTACGGGGGTGGTTCAGCTGGACTTTGTGATGATGCTTCCCCATCGTCATCGTCATCTTCCTCCTCTTCCTACAGCTCTGGAGGTTCTCCAATGGGACTCCAAGTGACCTTGGATGATGGGAGGCGTGTCTCCCCTATCAAAAGCACCACCAGCAGCAGCATCACGAGTGAGTGATGAGCTGGAAAGCTGCGCTTTGGGGGATGGGATCTGATTGAGAATGCTGAGGTGAGCATGGATTTGGGAGTGAGTGTTGAGATGACCACATCTCACAGGGTAGTTGTGGGCTCACAGTTCCATCAACTACCGACTCTTTTGGCAGACTGGGATTCAGGTACTTCAGTTTGTCAGTGTTGCCTTTCTGACATTGATTCTAGCTGTGTTCCTCAAAACCAGCTATGTGCATCCAATGCTTTGAAAGCTCACCAATATTGAAGAGGCTGAAGCTGTAGCATTGTGAATCAATCTTCACACAAAGAATCTCACAGTCTTTGTCTCTCTCCTTCAGAACTCAATGGGATGGTCCTTCTATGTAAAGTTTGTGGTGATGTTGCTTCCGGCTTCCATTATGGTGTCCATGCCTGTGAAGGCTGCAAGGTAAAGTTTTTGATGTATATACAACAGAAACATGTTGGACTTCAAAATTCACCTGGCTTAAGATTGTGAGAAGGGGGTTACCTCAACATACTCAAAACTTTCCAATACTTTGAACAAGGAGAAAATATCTCTTTTCACATAAATGAATCTATGAGAATATCCTCTTTACAAGTCTTTGATTAGAGACTGAGACCTGCTTGTGGGCATAGTAGCACTTTTGAGCATATTGTGCTGTAGAGATCAGGTCTATGTATTGCTCTTAGTGACATCGAACATTTATAGTGTGATTTGATTACTTATCTGCTCTTTTGATAGCTCCGTCTCTGAGTTAACTGCTCGAGACTCCCCATCCAAATGCAATGGTACTTAATAGAGCCATTCCAACTGTTTTATTTGGGGATAATAAAAATTGTCAGCATTTCTAGATGGTATAGCTCAGGGGTAGGCAACCCAAAACACTCAAAGAGCCACTTGGACCCATTTCCCACTAAAAACAAAACACTGGGAGCCACAAAACCCTTTTGATATCTAAAAGGAAGATAACACTGCATATATCCTTTTTTACCTTATATATATGTGTGTGTGTGTATATGTGTCACACACACACATATACACATGTACACACACACACACACACACTCTCACACACACACACACACACATATATATATATCATAAAGGTAACAAAGGATATATGCAGTGTTATCTTCATTTTAGATATCTGTCTCTCTTTCTTTCCGCCCTTGGTCTGCCAGTCCTCTTCCCCCACTCTCTTTCTCTCTCTCTCTTTCCTCTCTCTCCTTCTCTCTCTCTCTCTTTCTCCCCCCCTATCCCATCTGCTCACCTGGCAAGCTGGCTTCAGGCTGTTCTCCAACAAGCTCAGAGGTAGACAACCTCGGCTTTTTTATGACTCAGGGACTTCAATTCCCAGAATTCCTAAGTCAGCATAGCTGGGCTAGCTAGCTCTCTCCTGCCCTTCCTGCTTCCTGCAGCAAAGGGAGGAGCCACGCCCAAAAAGATTTTCAGCTTGTCGGAGAACAATGAGTCCACTCTCTTTTACACACACACACACACACACACACACACACACAGAGAGAGAGAGAGAGAGAGAGAGAGAGAGATGGAGAGAGACAGAGAAGCAGGGAAGCGCAAGTGCCTCTCTCTGTCTCTCTCTGCAAATGGCAGAGGAGGCTGGGAGCCACAGGGGAAGGCTCAAAGAGCCGCATGCGGCTCCAGAGCCGCAGGTTGCCGACCTGTGGTATAGCTGCAAGAATGCTTTGGATGCTGACATGCAGCTAAGCAGGGTATAGGATTCCTCTGCAGTCAATTCTGCTTCAGCTATAAAAATATTTTAATACAAAGGCAATACAATGCATTGTTTTTAGAGATTCTTACTTGCAATTACTATGGAGAAAATATTTTTGTGTCAGACTATATGTAGGTAAATAGCAAATGTAGTTTTTTTCTCCTCTCAGATTTGCGCTATAGACTAGTGTTTCTGAACCTTAGCAACTTTAAGATTTAAGCAACTTTCATTTTCAGCTTTCAATTTTCAGGTCCAATTTTCACCTTTCAATCAACATGGAGAATTTTGGGAGTTGAAATCCACCAGTTAAAGTTGCCATTGTTGAGATTGCTCTAGACATTTATAAGCTAATGAGGTTCCTACCCTCTTTTCCTAGGGCCAAGCGTGTAACAGAATTGTTGCATGAAAAAAAAATGCTCTTGAGAACATTGACACCAAAAGCACTTGCAGTTATATTCTGCTTCACAATCCCTGGTTAAAAATGCCTGTGTCTCACAACTGCAGGGTTTCTTTCGGCGCAGCATTCAGCAGAACATCCAATATAAAAAGTGCCTGAAAAACGAGACTTGCAGCATTGTCCGCATTAATCGGAATCGTTGCCAGCAGTGTCGCTTTAAGAAGTGCCTGAGGGTTGGCATGTCTCGTGATGGTGAGTTCCTGTGGCAGGAAATTAGAGTTCTCAGGAAGAGCAACAGTCCAGTCTTGTTTAAACCTTTTGGTGGACTCTCTGGGTGATCTCCAAAGATACGATATTTATTCAAAGGGTAAATCATATACACTACAGTACAGACGTTTTGGGTTGTGTTGCATCTTTGGGGCAGATGTTGTTGACCCTGGAGAGCTCCTAAAAGGTCTTAATAAAAAAAGGTCTGAAGTTGGAAATGGCAAGAGATGGTGGGGAGAGAGGAGTGACAAGAGTTGCTGTCTTTCTCCACTGGTAATGTACCTCCTGGAGATATTAGGATCAGGTTCTTGCATGGTGCACTTGGGCAGCATTGTTGAAGGGCTTGGGGAAGGTTATGTGGGGGTTGGGGTTTTTTGGGGAGAGAACAAATATTTCAGTCTTGTGGAATTTCTTTGCTTGCTGGCATAGATTGTTCTCTAAAAGGACTAAGCACAGTTAGACCTGGTTAGTACTTGGATGGAAGGAAATCTCAGAAATGTATGCTGGAAAAATAAAATGGAAGCAATGGCAAACTACTCTGTATTGTGGCAATGATGAGAATATATGCCACCTAACTCTAAACAATTTGATACGTGTAAAACCCCCAGATTTCCATTGATTAATTTATCCCGCTATTGTTTTATTTGTCACCAAAAGGGAAGGCATGTGTAAGCCTTCTTTCCTTAACTCATCAATAGAAAGTTGTTGAAGATGATGTTTATCCCATCCCTGCTTCACTTCACTGGGCTTTTTGGAAGAGTTTTTGCTTCTAAGAAAAGCCATGGATTAGATTGCAGTGTTTAAATACCCATGTTGATCCTTGGATTCCATAGAAATATTTAATGTATTGTCATCTTTTTTCTGTGTCCTGTGCAGCTGTACGATTTGGGCGCATCCCCAAGCGTGAGAAGCAAAGGATGCTGGCTGAGATGCAGAGTGCAATGAACATGGCTAATAACCAACTGAGTGCACAGTGCCTCCCTGAGAATCTGCCCACAGGGCATCCACAGTCCAGTACTCTCTTGCTGGGCCATCAGTCTCAACTGGCACCTTCTTCCCCACCTTCCCGTGTAGCCTCCCCACCCCAGACATTTCCTTGCTTCTCCCAGTTTTCTCAGCAGTTAACACCTCCACGATCCCCAAGCCCTGGAGATGTCATGGAGGATGTCATCGCACAAGTGGCTAAAGCCCACAAAGAGATTTTTGTTTATGCCCATGACAAACTGGCTACGGGGCCCCACCCACCAACAGGGAGTAACAGTTCTCCTAGTTGGGACAACAACTGGTTGGTCAATGGCTATCACACCAGTGGGCTGCATCTTCAAAATGACAATTGGAACCCTGGCTCTGCCTCTAGCCCTGCTTGTCACCAGCATATCAATGGACATAGGTTTTGTCCCTCTGGGGAAACAGACTTCTCCCTTAGGCAAGGCGAAACCAAAGTCTTGGTAAGTGTTACATTGCCATGGACCTTCTCATTTGCCTTTCAAATTCAGTTGTTGCTAAATTGTTCTTCGGCTGCTGCTGGTTGGGTTTGTGGCCAGAAAATCAAGTACTTCCCTGGGATGGGAATGAAATTCAAATCAAGAAAGTTATGTTCGTCTTAGTCATTTGGTTAATTATTCACCATGTGATTGGGGTGTATTTTTATCTCCACTATTTTTATGTTCTGGATGCTTATTGTTTATTAAAATTAGGTTAGTTGTTCTGCTGGTGCCTTAAGAGAAGTTGCTGCTTATTTACCTTATTCATCTAAGGAAGAGGGTTTATTTTCCCCGTCTTTAAAGTTTGTTCTGCAGATGCAGATGTTCTTTTTATTTCATAAACTATTATGGATCCTTCAGCAAACAATAGCTGGAATATTTTTCTTAGAATAATAAATAATGCCCATCCATTTGGAGTAGTGTTCAATAACCTTTCAGAGCCTTTTGACCTCTGAGTGAAGGTCAGAGAATTTGCCCCATTAAAAACTGATTGGGTGTGCAATCTGAGGTTGCCATTATATAAGAGGTAATCTGCCCAAAATAATGGCAGGAGATGGATCCTGCTGTTCAACTATATGCATGTAAAGGAAGGAATGTGTGCATTGTAAATTCTCAGTATTTCACTGTGGTTGCACTAATCACTATGTGAAAGCTCAGTTTTCATGATTTTTTTAAAAAAAGAATATGAGCAGTAAGAAAATCAAAGTTTGCTAAAATTTTATTTTAAGAATGTACATCACAATTAGCAGGTAAGAAAACTTTTTTTTCTTAGAGCTATGGAAAAAAATTATGCACACAGCCAGAAATGGTGCTTAGCAGTTTTTTTTTTTTTGCAGGGTTACCTATTTCCAACCACTTTAATCCATACCCTAGTTTGTCCTTACATGACTATTTCCCCTCCTAACAGGCGTGCCCAATGAATTGTCATCCTCATGGTTACAGTGGCCGCACAGTTCAGGAGATTTGGGAGGATTTCTCACTGAGTTTTGTGTCAGCTGTACGAGAAGTTGTGGAATTTGCTAAACACATTCCGGGATTTCGGGAGCTGTCACAACATGACCAAGTCTCACTACTCAAAGCTGGCACATTTGAGGTAGGAAAATTTCCACCTACAGTTTAAGATCCTCCTTAGTCACAAGCTATTGATATTCTGTGCTGGAAATACTTCTTCCCAGAAACCTACTTCGTATTTGTAAATAGTGCATAGCAAACACAGAGCAGCAAGGTTGTTTTTAAATCCCATCACAAATTTCCATCTTTTTTTCTTTTAGTACCAAGAAAGCATTAAAAAGACATTGTGTGTTGGCTTCTCTCTCAAATATAAACTAATTAGAAATAATTAAAGATTGTTGTCAGAATGGTCTGCTTCTAGGAGACTGTAACCTAGCCACACCCAGAGCAAAATAAGTGCTTTGAAAACCAGGAAAAGAATTTAGCTGAAATTCTGACACATCGTTTTTGAGATCTTTGAAAAACAACCACCTTGCGATTTGATCCTTAGTATGTTGCAGCCTAACTTGAGAGATGATCGACATCATTTTTGCAAATTAATAGTGGAGAAAAGGATTAGGGCTAATCTTTGCCAACATGTCTGTATGATATGGGATTATGTGTTTGGGCAATCTCAGCATCATCAAAAATTGTCCTTTTGTATCTTCATTACATTTAATGTATACTTAAAATGAGTGCCATTTGTGGCGCATCACAACCTTTGCATTTCCTATGGATACCACTGGTCCTGATGTTACTATGCAGATATTTTCCAATGTTAAGACATATTTATTGACATAAAGTCAAATTTTTATGACTTTTCAAAATAAAATTTAAGTCAACATAGTTATACAAATGTGCCAGGTATATTTTACTGGAAATGTGGATATCTGTATACATAGTAGTGGAGAAAGATAAAGATAACTTCATGTTTTAGCCCATGGGATTGCCATATCTCTCAAGCTTATGCTATGATAGATAGATGAGAGTTTGCATTATATTCTTAAACTCATTGGCTTTGGAAGCATCTTGGAAGATTCTTGGCAGGAAACTCAAGTATTGAAAAATGGTGAGTTACATCCTAAAACTTGTATTCATGGAAAACTCAAGATGATTGTGAAGTAAGCTGTGTGTGTAAGTTTCATTTTTCTTCTTAAGTAGGCATATTGATGGGCTTTTTATAGCAGTGAAAGACATCAAGAGAATGTAATACATTAGATTCTTCATTTTGAGTCTGAACGTTGCCGTGGCATGAAAGGCACAAATTGCAATAATTATAATTACCCTTCCTAAATTGTAATTATAATCTCAAAATGTGAAAATGTTTCTGATGTCATTTTGGTGTTTGTTTTTTCAAAAAAATTAAAAAGCACTTGACAAGTGTTTGTGGAAGCATACTTATATTCTGAAAGTTCTTTATCTTTTCTCTCTAACCCCAGGTGCTAATGGTTCGGTTTGCCTCCCTTTTCAATGTCAAGGAGCAGACTATAACATTCACCAGTCACACAAAGTACAACCTTGAAGAGTTGTGGGGGATGGGCATGGATGACTTGTTAATATCCATGTTTGAGTTCAGTGAGAAGCTTAGTGCCTTGCAACTATCTGAAGAAGAACTAGGCCTCTTCACAGCAGTGGTGCTGATCTCTGCAGGCAAGTATCCCTTGACCCCAGTCCCAATATACAGACTTTCTGATTGTATCCTTTGCCCAGCATAGCCTGTTCACATTTGTTTGCTGTCCCTGCCATACCTTGCCAGATTTGTGATTCTTCACTATCCAAATGTAGCCCCCAGCTCCCTCACACAAATCTTTTTTTTTTTAGTCCCTACCCTTCAAATACCCGAAACCTTGTAGGTGTAACTGAAATCCTCCGTATTCCTCTTCGATCCCATAACCTCTCCCTTCAACAGTATATTTTAGCGGTTTATGTCCTTGGGGACAAGACCTTTGTTTGCTGTGAAGTAAGATGCATGGTCATGGTTCTTTAGAAATCATAACCATGTTTCAAGGATTGTGATTTGCAGATCATCTCTGGCATGATTTTCTTACAATTGGGCATTCTTGTGACCTGAAGGGAGACTAGACATTTCTGATAACTGCTGTCTGGACTCTGGTTTTATGTACTTCCTTTACAGCAGTGGTTCTCAACCTGTGGGTCGGGACGCCATTTGGGGTCGAACGACCATTTCATGGTCGCCAAACAACGCAGTCCACCATTTTTTCCCCTTTTTCCTTAGCTGTGCTACTCCCTTTTATTCTATTGGCTTTTGAAAGCCAATAGAATAGACTCTCTTGAATATTGGCTTTCAAAAGCCAATAGGAATTGTCCAGGCTGTCTCTGCTCTGCTGAGCCCGCCAAAAGTCCCATTCTGCAAACGGTGCTGCACCAGTTGAGTAGTCCTCGACTTACGACCGGTTGAGGGTCGCTGCATTAAAAAGGTTGAGAACCACTTTTTTACAGCCTTGCTACACAGTACTTATTGTCGATCCCTCTCTATGTAGATCGCTCAGGCATCGAGAACCCAGCATCAGTGGAGCAGCTACAGGAAACACTGATCCGGGCGCTGCGAGCCCTCATCCTCAAGAATCACCCCCAGGAAACATCCCGCTTTACTAAATTGCTTTTGAAACTGCCTGATCTACGCACCCTCAACATGCACTCCGAAAAGCTGCTCTCCTTCCGCATTGATGCTCAGTAAAAGATAGCGCAGGCAGAAATACTGCGAGTCCAGGCTCCTGACCAATTATCCTTGCTTTATTGCACTAACCAGACTATTTTGGGCCTGGATATGGCTATTTATGTGGGGGTAGCAGCTGCTCCTCCTGCCTGCTCAGAAATAAACAGCACAACCGCCTTTGTAAATATATCTGTGTATATTGGAACTGTGTGAAGAGAATATCCCTCTTCCTGGCTATGGTGCCAATTTCAGGAGAAAAATACAATGAAAGCAAACTGGATGGTTGTCGTCCTCTTTTTGTTCATTTCTTGCTCTCCTAAGTTGAAACTACGGTGGGAATTGGGATCAAGTGTGGCATGATCCTCATGATCCTTTGGCTGCTACCAGAAGGAAAACAAGTCTTAGATACAGGCAGGTAACTGGAGCCCCATTTGTTTTTTCTAGGGAGGGTGATGTGGTATGAAGTCCTGTAAAAACCACTAGGTGAAAAGGCTCATCTGCCTTATTGTTTCCTTAAAATGTTCCATCTTTTATGTTTTCCTTTCTGGTGTAGGAGACCTATGAAACCCTTTGTAATAGATGCCACTTCCAGGCAAACTAATTTTGAAATAATACCCCGTTAGTAGGAATGCAAGAGAACTAAACCACCTTCTTTGAAATACTCCTGTCTAGCAAAAAGAAAAAGAAAAAAGGAATAAACCATCATCCATCCTCAGATTAAATTGAAATAAAATGAGGCGATGATGTCAGTTGGCCTCTTTTTCCACATCCTGAATTCTTGGTGAACTTTCTGTGTGTAGTGGAACTGAGGTTGTACTCATTAAGGGAGGCTTGATGGGTACAATGGTAGAACAATTGTAGAACAATTTCAGCCCCAACCCTGTACTCAAGTTTTGGCAGTTAAAAGAAAGGATGTTATATACCAGCCACCATTTACCAGAAATGAGACACCAAAAGTCAGTTGGGGCTGTGAGGTTTTTTTTGTCTTTGTTTAAGGGTAGGTTTGTTTGTTTTTTAATCATATATTTATTACATAAATATATAGTAAAATAGACCAGCAACAATTACCATAAAAATATCTTTCTTTAAAATCCTGACCAAAAACACAAAAAGGGTTATTTTTTTTCCCCTGCCCCAGACTTTTCAGGGTTATTTTTTTTTCAAAATCGCACGTCACAGACAAATTGTGATTGTCGTTATTTTTTTACATCAGCAGCTTCCTGCTTCCCAGATGCAAAAAAGGAAAAGGAAAGGAAAGAAAAACAGAAACAGAAAAAAGAAAAGACAGTAAGGGAGAAGGGGGAAAGGGGTGAGGCAGAGGGAACACTTTCCCCATCTGGTTTTTCTTTCCCTCTGAACTCTTCCCCCCAACCCAACCCCCCCCCCTTCAGAAAACCCCATCTCCCAAATGTACATTCACTAACTCCCTGCTCACAGTTTCTTTCCCTGCTCTGGACTGCGAGGGAAAAACCACGATGCATAGTATATTGGGGTTTAAGTATAAAGTTAAGTACAAAGTTGTCTCCTTATTGGAAACTCCTTTCTATTCTCCCATAATCTTTGATGATAATCTAGATCCAAAATTTTAAAAAAAAACACCCTTTCAGAAAGAAAGACTGGCTGGGGTGTGTGTCAAGAAGATAGTGGGATATCATTTATAGGACTGCATGAGGTATGTGTTGGCAAAGAAATACTGAAAGGAGGTATGGGAATAATCATCAGTGTCTCTCCATGAACAAATCTATAATGTGAAAAAAAAAATCTACTTCTTACCCACAAATTTTCAGTCATTAAGTGCCCTGCATGGATGGAGGAAGAAACTTAGGGGCATTGTGTCCTGAAAAGCAACACCTTTTACTACAGATTGCAAAGGATTTTGCTTCTCCAGGAAGGGTGGCTCCCACCCCCATAGAGGTGGCACAGCATACAAAAGAGGTGGGAGAGATACTGTGTTCCTTGCACTGAACTTTGGGCAAAATGTGAGCATGCCATGATGGGGGAGAATGACACCTGAGGTGGCAGAGTATCAAAGTATGAACTATCGTGGGAGGGATTCACACCCTGAGATCTTTGCATCACTTTAAGGATAAGTTATGACCTAGGCAGCAGCCAATGTACCTTCCTACCCCAGCTGACATAAAATGAGGGACACTGCCCTCTATAGGTAAGTGGGCACATAGGAGTAAAGTCAGAGGCCTCCTTTCTCCATTAGCAGCTTTCTTGTGTAGAGTGTCTTGCATATATAAATCTTTAGTACAAAGAGGGAAAAAGGAAATTCTACTTTTCTGCATTCAAACTCCATATGGAAAAGCTATTTCAGCTCCCCTTACGAGGTGGTGTTACGTATGTGCTGGTGATGGAGAGAAGAGAGTTTTAAATGAGGACTACAATCCAGATCCTAAAAAGACATTTACAGGTAGTCCTTAACTTATGATCATTTGAAGTTATGATGGTGTTGAAAAAAGTGACTCATGACAGTCCTTGATCTTATAATCACTGCAGCATTTCTGCGTTCATGTAATCACAATTTTGGTTCTAGGCAATTAGCATGTATTTGTGATTGTTGCAGCATCCTAGGATCATGTAACCACCATATGTGACCTTCCCAGCTAATTTGCGATAAGCAAAGTCAATGGGGGAAGTCAGATTTGTTTAACAGTTGAATGATTCAGTAATAACAGCAGCAAAAAGGTCATGAAATCAAATGTGACTTGCTTAATGACTGCATCACTTAGTGACACGCTTCAGTTCCAATTGTGATTTTAAGTTGAAGACTACTGTGCCATTTTAGCTTAAGGGGGGTGCAAAATGCATTCATTCCTCACAGCTGATGAAGTGGTGTTGCCCAGGCTGAAAAGGTTTACTTTGGCTATAATGTTTTAAGTAATCAAGTAATCCCTGTGAAAAAGGGGCTCTTGCCTTTTCCTTGTAAGATATAACCAAATGAAGTTGGCTGTTTTACAACATGCTATTATTTGATCATACTCCAAAGGTATGGATTGAAACTATAAAGAAACTTTGAATTAATCTAGTATTGTAAATTCTAGCTGAAGTGATAATCTGTGCTAGTTCATTCACAAACCTATTGCTATCTAACCATGTTATCTAACAAGCCACTATTATAAAAATGTCAACCGGATCATCATCCAAAGACTCATGGTCTCAAAAGATGAAAAATCATTTTCTTAATTTTAAATACCTCAGGCTGGCTTTCTATCTTTAAAAAAAAGAAACCAAAAACTTAGTTTCTCAAATTATTAATGGGAATACATAATTTAGCCAGATCACTTCAGCCTGCTAGGCAAGAACAATGAAGGGTTCATAGCTCTACACTGGGTGCTAAGCTGAAATCACAGAAATGTTTCTAATTGGACAGACCATCTCTCATACCTTTCAGAGTATCATAGGGACAATTAAACACATCAACTAAAGTAGTATAATAATTAGCCAAGTCGAATGAACTAAAATAGCTGACATTTCTGTCTCCCCCTACACCTGCCTTTCATTTGAGACATTGGCAGGAGGCTTTGCATGTATGTTGTGCAAAGTGCAGATGGGGTTTAACACTTTGTATACATAGGATATCTGCACACAGTTGAAAGAACTATACTTATCAAATACATATGCTCTAGATGAAGTCAAGCAGGAAGTTCTGCACAAGCTCAGTGAAATGAATGAGTAGTCCCACTCATTTCAGGTAGTGTTTAGAAACTGTTTCTTTTCAGTTCAACTACATGTATTATATATACACATAAATATGTTCAGGCTCCTTCATCCAAGGTCATATCATTTGTGACTATTTTCTCAGGACTATAAAGCCAATCTTACATCTTGAAGTTCAGTATGTGTAGGAAATTCATAAAGGAGAGTACCAAAATACTATTTTATAGAGGCTGTACTATTTGATATAAGGCAATGAGGAATTATTATCCTGCCCCCTCCTTCCTGATAATCAGGGGCATCTTTACATGCTTTGTAGATTTCAAACATAAGATGTTCCAGTTACACCTTTTCAAGGCAGAACTAGTTTACAAGTTGGGTTACATATAAAATATTTACAGAATTACAAATGCTGAACAGACTGTTCACTTGATTGTTGTGTGAAAGTGTGTCCTTGCTGGCAACTTATACAGTATTATTAAGGCTTCTGGAAAAATGAGTATAGAAAACTAACGTCAAGATGGGGTAGCACTGAGCCTCGAATGGTAGTTCAGCTGCCCTGACAAGATGGGGGAATCTGAGACATTGGTGAAGTGAGGGCAAATGACAAACATGTTTGAGACAGAAACAAACAAGAATGAAAAAAATGGGGTAAGGTTACAGCAAGAAGGAAAATGTCTGCAAACATACAGAAACACATATATCTACATATAAGATATACCTCAACTCTGCCACAAATGTTTGGCAGAAATGTTTGAACCCAGAGAACAGGCAAGGCTCAGTACTTCTAGCTTTTAGATATATTCTGCCAGGCACAGCAAGAATTCTCAGTATGGGAGAGAACAAACCTGCCTATAAACAAGGAATACAAAACTGGCATGATAGAAGCAGAAAGACACTGTTGTGTGTATGAGATAGGGACCTTCTTTTCATAGAGAAGCAAATTTGTATTAGATATGTTTGTTACCTCTTAAGAATATTAAAATGCATACAAAGTCTATTAACTCAAAACCACAAGATTGGACACCCATACATCTGAGGTAATTTACACCGCAAATTCACAAGTCCCTCATTTACAGTATTACAAGTAAAACCTGCACATTTAGACATGAGCCAATGCTGATAGGGTGTTCAGGACACATCTGGGGTCACCATAAACCAGAGTGTATCTTTCTCATATATCAGGAAGATGTTTATGTAGGAACACCACCAACAATCAGAATAACAAACCCATTGAGATAAAGAATACATGTGACCTCAGCAGGGTCTCCTGGCAGTAGTACAGTGCCTAAACTGTTTCATGGCTTGTGCCTTTGCTCAGTCTACAAAAAGTGCAGAACAACCTGCCTTTGGATGGCACTCAATTTTTCTTATGCTGCCCAAATTTTAAAAAAACAGAAACAATCTGTTAGGGCCCTGGGCTGCCAAAGATGATGATGCACCTTAAAGTACATATAGTACAGGGGGCAAGGAAAACTCATCTCAACCCCCTCCCCTCCCAAAAGAAGGTAGGGTATTAATTCTAAATGAAGATGGGATTTGGAATAAGGTAATGACAGGAGGATTGTTTGAGATCTGTTTTTGAGCTTCTGGGTTAAGGGGTAAATTGCAAATTAGTTACCTATGCAAACCTTTTCAGCCTGGCAAGAAGGGTTATAAGTGGCAAGAGAGGCAAGGTTTCTGCAGCCCTTCACAGGCAGCAGAAGTATATAGGTAATCCTTGTTTAGCAATTGCCTCAGTTATGACAGTGATGAAAAAACTATGCAACTAATCTTTGCATTTACGACCTTTGCAGGTCTGTAAAGTAAAAGAAACTGGTATAAGATCGTAAGCACAATCGGTTTCACTTAGTAACTACTTCATTTAACAACCAAATTGCCAGGGGTAAATGAGGATTACCTGTAGCTCATTTTTCTGTTACCAAAATAAATGGCATTAGCCTCCAGAAGTTTTTTTTTTCTTTTAAAAAAGTATATGGCAGGATTTTGGGTCAGAACATGAAAGGCTGGCTGCTGAGGGAGAGTAGTAAGTCAAGAACTAGCACTAGAGAATAATGTTTGTTTTTCAGTGTGAGATTGTCCAGCTGGAACACCTTGATCTGTGGGGAGAGAAAGGAGGGAAGGAAAAGAGAATAAAGAGGCTGACCTTAGGCAAGAATGCCAAATGCACTGGAACAGTTTTTGGCAGACAGGCTGGGGAAGAAGATCTTAAAAATCATTATTCTAGGTCAAAATCAGTTTTTCATTTTTTTATGTATTGCTTATTCTAACCAAAAAATAAGAAGAAATATGAGACCTTCCAAACACTGTAAATAGTTTTGCAGAATGCTTGGCTTCAGGAGCCCTGTTTTTCTGCACCTCTGTTTTGAAGCAAACAGCCCCTCACTTGGATGCCATGTGAATTTAGACAACTGGAATACACTGGTATGAAATTAAGACTGAAGATAACTTTATCAGTTAAAAGGTGATCTGAAAAAGGATTTACTCGGGTTCTTCTCCACAATACATTGGCTTCAACTCAATTAATGGAATTTCTGGAAGCTGAACTTTAGAATTAACCCAGATGTTTGAGCTGATTAATAATTTTATTCTGATTTTTTTTGGAGAACATTTAGCAAGGTGGCTAGGATTTGATTGCTGAAGAAAGCAACAACTTTTTAAAAAAATCCTCAGAAAAAGACAATTATCATGTTTATTTGTGCAAGATTTCTTGGCCTAAATAAGTGGGCAGAGCACTCTGAAATACTCCAGACATTTTCAAAATGCCATGTAAGAAGCACAATGGCCACAAATACACAGCTTCAAAAGGAAAATGCAGAAATATTTTGTATACTGGCCATTTTGTAATAGGTGCCAGCTTGGGACAAGCATTCCATCTTAAGTGAGCAAAAAGAAGTAATCTTTTAAGAAGAGGATTTCAAATGGCTGGTTTTTTTTCAGCCTGCCCTTATGCTGGTTTTTAATATTTTTTAGCTGATCAGTCCAACTCTTTGATATTTACATTCATTTCTAACCTAATTGAATTGATATTGTTTCAAACTCCTTTCAGCTGAATTGACTGTGTTTAATATGTGCACATCTAAAGACCTCAAATCTCCCTCAAGCCACCCTCAATTCTTTCAGATGCTACATTCATCACTGACCCAAGGAGAGTTTCACACATTCGATGGTCCTAAGAACTACTGAATGTGTCATTTGATTTAGTAAAAACATTATTTATGTGATCATGATCAACTAAATTGCAGCTCATTCATATCAGAAAATCATCAGTATGGAAGGCATATGCTAATAAACATGCTTGAGGCTTAGAAATTACATACCTTGCAAAGCATCTCAATTTCTGAAATGGATACAAATGGGCTGGGAATACTAACCACTTTGTGAAGTGCAGATACATTAGTGAAAGCTGTACCTCTCCCTGAATGAAATATGAATAAGGATAGAAAATTAGTTAGTCAGTAAGTAAGCACCCTTTGATACATTTCTATAATATCTGGGATGCATTAAAATCTTTTCAGTTTGGAATGAATAAATAGATAAAAAAGAGTATAAAAAGATAAAGAATAGCTTGAATTGAGTTCAACTCCTGATTACAAGGATAATTCTGAATGTCTTTTCCCTTGTCAAAGTTTATTCAATATCTAAGTTAGAGAATACACATCTCAGAGATCTGATTTCAAGCCAAATCCCTGAAATGCATAGAAACTTAAGGAGTTTTTTTTTCTTTCTTTACAGCAGTTGTATGCCAGCCCAATCAGGGACTGAGGGTAGGTGTGATGCTGAAATACTATTGCAATAGTAACAGATGGATTTTTAAAATACAGTTGGAAAATGGTTAAATAGAAAAAGGCTCCTGACTGAAAACGTGGTACAGCATATTGCTGTTTTATCAAGACTGTTTAACAAGACTACATAAAGTCAAAGGACAATGCAGGAGTTACAAGTGAGTGAGAGTCACAAACCAATACCTAATGCTCTGTTTTATTTATTCAGTGAGTTTCAGCTCACTGAAGTTTGTTGTAACTCTTTTCTGGCCAGAAAAATGATTCCTACTACTCACATCTGCAAAAATTCCTGAAGTATTTCCACTGGAAGAATCATGGAAGGAAAGAACTGAAAAAAACTAAGGAACCTTATGGCATTTCAGGGAAGCATCCATATTTAATTCTGAATCAGAATGGGTGTTGCGTAGTGGGAAAGCAGCAGATTAAGCCTGAGTTCACACATTATATGTTTTAACCATGGTTTACTGAATAAATTAACTGTGTTCATAAAATATGCTAAACCATGAACTATGGCTTAAAAAGATGGCTATGTTTCGTTCTAAACTAAAATCAAGGAAAATCACATTGTATCTTAACATAATGTATGAAGCCAGCCTAAGGATAATGCAGTAGGCTGAGAGTAATGGTTGCACAAAAACAGTCTATCAAGAAAAAGGTGGGGGCTGCTTTGGATGGTTATGCTAACACAATATTTAAAAACTTACTAAATTGTGATGATCTCAGCACAGGAGCGAGCTCTGGGCTCTTGTAGCAAAATGAGGACAGCACAGAGGTACCTACAGATCAGAGCCTATTCCTCCTGTTTCAAATACTGTGCTTCCCTCACCAAATACTCCTTCAAGATAATTGTTTCCATGGTCTAACATTACCCAATTATACCACCAAAAGTAGATATAGCAGTCAAAATCTCCAACCTTGAACTAAGCAAAAGCTGTTCTTGCAAATAAGTGCTATATAAACCCCCATGGATAAGTGCTATATAAACCTCTGTGGCAGATCACTTGCATGGCATCAGAGAGGTCCCACACTTGGTTCCTAGCATCTCCAATTATCAGAAGCTGCTTTCAACTCTCTGAATGAGGGAACAAAAAATGAAATGTTCATGAAAAATGCAGCCCTGCCTTCTGTTGAGGATTCTGAATTGCAAGAAACTCAAAGCAATCAGATCACTTCACTTCACTGCTCTCTAGCCCCACTTTCTGCTCGGCTCTCAGGTGCCACCGCTAGGGGAAGACAGCCTGAAGCTTTGGGGACTGCTACCCGCCCAAAGAGAGATTACTGAGAAGCAGAGGCTAGCCTTGCTTCCATTTAAGGCAGCAACTTATGTCCATAGAATGAGTCTTTGATTCAAGAGTATATTTTCTGTCAAACTTTAAAAATATAAGATCAGGGCCTAGAAAAATAATTTGAATGGCCACTTTGAAGAAAATCCAGTGATTTTGATAGGATTTCCTTCCGGTTAGGAGTTCAGCCTAATTAATCTCTGCCTCTCACATACACAGAAACAGACACAATGTTCTTTCATACACGCAAGCACACATAACTCATTTTATTGCACAGGGAAAATTAATGTAAGAGGGGAACTATTTAACAAAGACTTGCAAGCCTGTTTCATGGGACTGATACAGACTTTAGAAGTTACGGGTATTATTAGAAAAGGGCAAAACAATAAGGGTTACAGCAAGAAGGGGCAGTGTTAAGTGGTCTGAGTAAACTAGCTATTTCATGTTTTATTTTTTGGAAAAGCTGGACGAAGGAACCTAAGTCTCTAACAAGCTGTGTGCACGTGCACGTGTAGATATACAGGAAATAGCATGTTATGACATAAATAGAATGAGAAAACACCAGTCTTTGAAATTGGCCAACTAGGCTATAAAGTTTCTCATCTTTGGATGCTTTTCAAATTGTTATTGCATGGATATGAGGCTTTGGGGATAGTTTCAAGCAAGTTTCATCAGCCTCTACACTGGACAAAAAAGTTTTCTCCCTCAAAGAAATCCACAATTAGCTCATACCTTCAAGGCAAAACTTCTGCATCTGCACATTCTCCAGATACATTATTTCAATGGACCCAGCTTTATTCCTTGGGGAAATAGCTGGTGGAATACAACTGGGCTTGTGTAACCTCTGCGCTTTAAACACAAACATTTAACTCCCAAATCAAGAAAAGCTGAATGCTGCTCTAAGAAAAATGGAATAATTAAGCAAAACTGCAAATGTGGGCTTCTTTTGCATAATATATTCTGTTTCGGCACCAGAGGTGTGCATTCCACACCACTGGGAATCCCACTTAAGGTCTGTTCTGAGATTTGATTAGGCTTCATAACCTGTCTTCGCTGCCATACAAGTTAGAAACTTGGTTTTAAACCCCCCCCCCCCCGGCCACAAGTCTGTTAAGATCTGTATTCAACATCACATTTGAGGACTGAGGAACAGGCATTGCCTTGAATATTATTCAATATGACTGCTGGCATTTAGGACCCAAGACTCCCTCCAATTCAACCCAGCAATTACTTCCCCATTTAACCCCATGTCATTTAAAGATGATAAAAATAAAGCAAAAATCAATCAAACAAAAAAGCATTGTTTTTCCAACCCAAATTTTTGTTTGTGTGATTTTTCTTTTCTTTTTTGTGAACAGACCCGTACAAAGATTTTTCTTAATTAAAAAAAATTATACATATTTTTTTTTTATATATATATATATATATTCTGTATATTAGCTTAAATTGGAGCTGAGTTCTCCATGCGCCGGCCGGCCTCTGAATCTTCAGATGGTACATCCAACATGCACCCAACCCATCATGTAACATTTCCCACGGCGTCTTGAATGAGGTAAGAGGTAAAGGGTTTTTTTCCAACGGAAACCATGTGACAGAGAGAAAGAACAAGGGAAGGGGGGGAATAAAAGTATACCCCTCTCCGGAATAACATATTACAGTTGCAGAAAAAGAAAAAGGTCTGGCTATTAAACTGACAAGAAATGGATCTAACACAGATAAAGCAGTTTAGAAGAGATAGAGAAGTCTGATCTATTTAACAGTGTTAAGTGCCAAAATACTTGCATTAAGGTGATCACAGTCTGGCTTGCATTAAAGGTGAAACAGACAGGAAGAAAGCGGGAAGCTGGTGGTTATTATCTTGTTTTTGTTTTTTCTTTAGAAATACCTCCTCCAAGGGCAAATCTTCAGAGTGGGGATTCGTAACTGGATGTTCTATGTCAAATATGGCCCTAGATACCAATTGCTCCACCTTTCCCAAGCGTCAGCCAAGAGGCAAAAATACAGGATTAAAGGCAGGGCTGGTGGCTATTGAATTGGGGCTGTTAGGCCTGGTCGACCACAATTTACTATTCCTTTTCTCCAAATAATGTTCCCACAAAGCTAACTGCTGGCCAGAACTTCAGAGGTTCTATTTTCCAACAACCAGTTACAACCACATAAGTATAACACTAAATAATGAGGGGGAAAAGCTGAAATCAAATGGAAACAATATCTAATTTGAAAACTTGAGGTGTTTTTTTTCTTGCTAGCTTGGCCAATTCAGTTTTACAAATGTGAGTAGCCTGCCTCCAAGTTCCCAACTGGATCAGTTCTGATATAGATCATGCAGCTTGAGGCTTGGGGCATTGCTCTGCCCATGACAGTTCAAGTTAGGCAGAATGGCCCTCCTTCTGTGCAAGGAAGTGCATTTGAGTATTATTTCATTCGTCTAGTCCCCCTCTGAAAGGGAAAATTAGACTTAATCAGTCCAGGATAAAACCTTTCTAACAGGCTTCTGCCTTATAAGAGAAATCTCTGCCTTTTCTTCCCATGTGCACAGACACAACTGGGACTACACAAGGGCCAGTAACGTACAAGTGCGGGGGACATGGAATGCTGTAGGAGAAAGAGAAGTTATTATGCAGAGCCCACAACCTCTTAATACAGAAGGGCTGTACAATCCTGGGTTGAAAAGGGTGTGCCATGTCCCCATGAATTTCACTGTCTTTGTGTTTTCTGTATTGCTAAGTGCCATTCCCCCCACCCACCCCGCCAAAATAAGAAAGAATTGAAACCTAACTCTGATTCTCTTGGGAGCACTGAAGAGTTAGGATTTCTCCTCGTTTCTTCCCCAGAGAGAAGGGCATTGAAGGGAGGGTGCAGCAGGGCAGCAAGAATACTAGTGCAGAAAGAAGTGTACCGCCACGAGGCGTGGGAAAGCGTGTGCAAAGAATTAGCAAAGGCCGTTTCAAAGCCCAGTGGGAACATTGCATGCAGCCTTTCAGCTGGGAGGGGGCAGCAGGTGTGGGTGGGAATCTGTCAAATCCACTCACCTTGCTGAATATGGAGGTAGATTGGCTGAAGCTTTGGGGAGGAAAGAGGGCACAACGGCAAGGAGGAAGGTTGACGAATATACCTCTCAACACTGGAACGCAAAGCGGGCACCTCTTAAGAGGCAAGCCCTGCAGTGCCATTCGAAGCAATATAAAATAGATCTTTCTTTTCTTTTCTTTTCTTTTCTCACCTGTTTCCCCCATTAAGGGCGGAGCTGAGGGGAAGGATTTTCATCTCACTCAAAGTGCATTTGTCCTTCACACGTGGACCTTCAGCCTCAATTTAGGTTTATTATTTTTTTGCCAAAACATCTGTGACCTTCCTCCTCCCACCTGCTCCTAATAATTTAATAGGATTTTCTCTTTTCCTCTCTCTCGGTTCCATTTCTTTCTTTCTTTTACAAAAAAAAGTGCATTTTCGATTTTAGCCTCCCAGGGAGGATAACTAAATGCTAAGGTTCTTAAAGAAAAAAACAACCAAACACACTCTGACGTTTCCTGGGACCGTTATGTGCAAAAGAATATATATATATATATTTATATGTATATATATTTATATATATTGGTAATCAAGTCCGTTTAAACGAGAGAGGTTTGATCAGGGCTCAAGAGGTGCCAATTGCTTCCAGTGTTGGGGGGGGAGGGCAGAAAAGTTTTATTTAAAGAAGGAGAGAAAGGCAAAGCATTTTGGAGTGGGGGGGGGAGAGAATAATATATGGACTGTTTTTCTCTTTTTTTTATGTTAAAGTTCAAGACAGACATTTCACCCTGGAAAGATGACTTTGGACAACAGGGGAGATAACAAGGGGGTAGGTGGGAATTGTATCGTCCACTTAATTATTTTTTTAAAAAAAAAAACAAAAAATCTGCCTAAACAAAGAATGTGTTGGCTACTGCACATTTCTACCTCATAACCCAGATTTTGTATAGCTTTGACTTTTTTCATGGCCCACCTCCTACCAAGGATGCCCTTGCTTCCCCTAACCAGGGGATTCATTGATGCTGACGTGCAATATTTAGAAAACCAAAACAAAACAAAAAAAATGAAAAGAAAAAAATGAAAACAACAAAACAGAACAAAACAATGAAAATCTGTTGTGTCCGAGGTGATGAGGTGAGGGTCTTGTGACCCAAGTCCAGACATCGCCCCAGCCCCAAATTGCCCCATGTCCCCAATTCGCCCACGCCACCCTGTTTGCCCCCCTCCATCCCTCCTCATGCCCTAAACTTCCTGATCCTCAAAGACCTCAAGGAAGAGTGGGGGGAAGAGCTCTGTGGGGCATTCCACCTTCATGTGCAGGAAGCGGCTGGCGTGGCAAGCCCCAATCATGCGCAGGTCGGTCACCTTCATGAGGAGCTTGGGCCAGAAGTGGGGAATGTTGTGTTTGCGATAATTGATGTAGTGTTCAAATGCCAGCAGATAGGTCTCTTGGCATTTTTCAATCTTATCAACGCAAATTAGCCCACTGCGGTCTGCAAAATAAATGGAAAAGAGGGTACATGTCAGGCAGGCTACACATTGCATGTGTAAATTTGTCTCTCTGCAAACAACCAAGTTGCCCCAATCCCAAGTTACCTTTCTGACTCACTAAATCTACTGAACCCTCATTGCTCAGATTAGAATTAATTCTGCGTCCTCCATATGGGCAAAACACAGAAACTGAAGTTCAGCTCCTTAGTTTTTCTGCTCCCCGCCCCCAAGAAAGACTCCATTGAGAGCATCCACAAATATGCTTGCAGGAAGAGACAAAGACTTTATGAGAGAGGATAAGAACTTTGTCAAGGTCTGTAGGAACTGGCCTAACTGATTACTTTGGACCCAAAGGATGAAAGTTCCCTATTCCTATTCTAGCGCTTTAGACATACAGAACCTCTATGTGTATGAAGAGGCTCTAGAGATTAAAAGTGACCCTTGCCCACTGCTTACAGCTATCTTATGATGATCTTCAGAAAAAGAATACAGGTGTCCTCACTTAATGACCATTATTGGGACTGCACCTTTGTCACTAAGCAACACTTGACAGAATTGCTTTTTGACAGTCATAATATAACTGAGAATGAATATGCTTCACTTAGGCATTTTGACAAATCTGAAGTTGCACATTGCCCATCCTTGATCTCAGGGAAAGGCTGTAGCTAAGATGCTAGCCCACAAGCAGTCAAAAGTTCAGGTTCTTCTTTCTCACAAAGTACAATTTTAATATGAAGTCTTACAAAGCTATTGATAATTGACAGGGATAATACTGAGCTACATGCAGCCTTGGTCTGACTCACTTATGTTTGAATAATGCCAATCACATAAGAGGCACACTGAGAGCATAGTCCACCCTCCACACATACCTGAGGACATAAGCAGCACAGCCTGGAGCAGTGCCACTTCAGTGTCATCCAGGCTGAAGGCAGAGAGGGATTTTCCCAGATCAAAGATGGCATCTGATACTACGCCCAAGCCACCGTTCTTCAGCTGCTCCCGCTTGACGGCCATTTCACCACTGAGTGTCAGGGTTTCGCTTTCAGGGTCATAACGCACAGCTGCCCGCAGTGACATAATCTCCATGCAACAGCCCTTCAAAAGGATGATCTGGTCCTCACAAGGCAGCTAAAGACAGAGAGAAGCATGATCATCTTGGCCCCAGGAATGCTTGGCTTTCTAGAATAGTCCCACTGGAGCGAAAGAAGACCTTACTCTACCTCCCAGAGAAAAAAGGTATTTTTGCTTTCCAGGGCAGAAAATTGGCGCAATAAAGAGAGACAAGGAGTGATTGTGCTATCAATAGTGGGGCCCAGAAGTAGCAAGAGCATACATTCTCTGGGTCAAATTAGCAGGAAATCAAGAGCCAGAAGTTAGTAGTGGTAGGAAATGTGATGCTTCTTTTGAAAGTCACTTATTTGCAGGAAATGTTCTTCTTTTAGCAGCTGGCTCTGTTAACCAGGAAGCCCACTGAAATTTGCTGCCCTCAGCTAGTTAGAAATGCTCTGAGGATGGCTATCAGATCATCTACAAATAACAAGTTACTGCATGATAATTCTCCTACAATTTTCGGCCTGAGACAATGTTCCTTCCCTCCTGCATTTATGACCAAGTCCTTGCTTTCCAATTTTGACTTATTTATCCACTCTGAACGTTTTGCAGACCTAACAAAATAATTTGTGATAATTAATTCATCAATCTAAAGCCATCATGTACGAAATATCAAAGAGGATACTTTACTCTGTTAACATTAATGCTGTATAATATAATGTGCTGAGTTTTCACAGCACATTAAAATAGAGTAAAATGATGTTGGTAGTTCAGGATGTTCTGGAATCCTGCCTTTCTTTCAGCATGCTGTATAAACCCATCCACTCAATTTCCCTAAATTAAATAGAATTAGAAGAAGAAAACAGAAAATTATTTTCTGAAAGTATGATAAATGAGGCCCAACTACTTTCATTACTTAAGGGAAGGATTTGGTGTAGATTTACCTGATGTTCTCTGTTTGTACAACCCACAGCCTTATCGATTCCAGGCTAAACTACTGCAATGCAGTAGTCCTCATTAATCATCCATTTGCTCAGTAGCTGTTCAGATTTATGATGATGTTGAATGAAGAGACTTTCAACTGGTCCTTGAAATTCTGATTACTTCAGACCTCCCACATCATGTGAACAAAATTTGGGCCAACTTATTTATTTATTTATTTATTTATTTATGAGACTTATATACCGCTTTAAGTGCAAGCACTCTCTAAGCGGTGTACACCAGTAAGCAATGTATATATATTTTACATTGCCCCCAACAATCTGGGTCCTCATTTTACCTACCTCGGAAGGATGGAAGGCTGAGTCAACCTTGAGTCGGTGAGATTTGAACCGCTGACCTGCTGAACACAGTCAGCTAAAGTGGCCTGCAGTACTGCACTCTAACTGCTGCGCCAACTCAGTCTTACCTGCATTTAGTCTTTGGCAACCTGCATTACCCGCCAGGTAGCGCTAGCAGTTCCCTACTTCCATGCCTGCCATACTATATGCCTCTACCATAGCGGCTGCAGTGCTCTTTTTTTTTTGCACTCTCCATTTGTGTGTCAATCAAGGCCTCCATTTCATGCTCTGTTCAGGACCTTTTTTGTTTTGTTTTGTTTTTAAGCAAAAGACGCCTGTTACATTAAAGAAAGCCTCAGTTGCACCAGTGAGAAAGAATAACTTTTCTAGGTGGAGCCTTTTCTCATACCCTGGGATTCTTCTGTACAACCACGTCCTGGGAAAGGCACAGTGGAAGCTCTGGGAGGGGTGAAGAGACGTTTTGGCTGCACTAAGATGAAAAAAGGCAGTGTGAAAGGGGTTCCGCCTGGTAAAAAGTGTGCATGATGTAGTTGATGGGGTGGGGCAGGGCTGAACAACAGCAGCAGCTGTCAGCAGTGGGTAGATAGATGGCAAAAAGGGCAGAGATGGAGGGGAGATAGGCAAAAGGGGGGAGTTAAAGAGGAGGCAGGCTCTTACTTAACCATGGCATTGGCCTGGGTCCTCAACTAACAACTGGCAGAATTTAGTTAACAGCAATCAGGATGCTGAGATTACTGTCACTAAGGAATGCATTCATGAGATGTCATGCTTTAGAACTGCATTGCCTAGTGATGGAAATTCTGGTCCCAATTACTGTACTTAATGGAGAACTATCTTTAGACTGTAGCTGAGAATGCCTTTGAAAGCTACTCAGGAACTGCCATAGGTGCAAAATACTATGGACACTTTGCTTGTGGTAGGCAAGCATAGGCTATAGCAGTGATTTTGTGGCACAGCCTTGGCTGCCAGTGAGTTTCCAGGTACTATTCGAAGTGCTGATTTTAAATTGTAAAGCCACTTATTATGCTTTGGCTTCCTGATGCCTTCAGGAAACTCTGAAATGTCATTAAGTGGCCAGTCATAAATTGAGGACCACATATTTATATGTCTTCCTAACAATCAGCCAAAATGGTTTTAATTTTGATAAAAGAAGAATGTAAAGAGAAATTTTATGGAAGTTCAAAACTTTACAACCAGATAATCCAATTCCTCCACTCTCTTTGCTCATCATCCTTTGCTTACCTCTGAAAACATGGGCAGTTTTTTGGCAAAATCCACCACACGGGTGATGGCAGGGGTGATGATCTTCGTAAACTCACTGAATGCCTCCAAGTCTACTTTGTCCCCATCAGGCATGGAAGCCATTGGTGACTGACCAATATCTTCAGGCTATGAGTGGGAAAAATAAATATTAGAAGTCTGCAGAAAGTCAGGAGACTCCATACAACTAGAAATTTATCACCTAACATTGGAAATATAACTGTTATCTGTCAATATCTTTTCCTTGTCTCAACTTTCTTATAAGATGATCTCTTTTATGTTACAATATCCTTTCTACAATTAGCATCAAAATATTACCCTATTAAATACTTTAATAAACATTTTAATTATTATTTGAACATATTTTATTTAAAAATCTTTAAAACCATTAGAAGCAATTTAAATGTTTTACTTTTAAATTATTTTAAATTCATCCTACTTTTATTTAGTTTTAAATTAAAGTTTTAGCAGATATTACCATACTCTGCTAACACACTGTGCAAATGTAAGAGTTACATTGCTGAAAATAAAAGTATCAGTCCCTCAAGTCTGGGAAGATCAGAATCCATGGTTCTACTCCAATGCACTAGTTTGAGAATGACACCCTCTGCCTTTGGCTGTTCTGGATCTGAGTGCTTTTGAAAAAGGGATACAGCCTTGGAAAATCTTCAACTGCTTTCCAATGAAAATGTGGAAAGTTCTCCACACTTCATTTCCCAGTCATTTAGTGTACTTGGGAAGATTGTGCGCAAATCATGTGCTGATCAGGCTCAGAAGTCCCCACCTCTTGGTTTTGAATTTCTTTCTTATATGCAAGCAGTTCAAGAATAGGGCCTGTTTAGTTTCATCACGTGAACTAAACAGTAATGCTTCTTAATCCATTTTTAGAGTGAATTTCAGGGCCACTTCCTATGTTCAGTAAGGAATTGCTGCATACTATAAAGGCTGAGGGAACAGACAGAACAATCTTAACCCCTCAGTCAGATAGCCTATTTCCTCTCCCCACCCCCAAGCCTCACTTTCTTTGACCTCCATGTCCTGACCTGCCCTGACATTAATTGGTTATGGCCAGCAGAGGGCACCCCAGGCCAGCAATTCCTCTCTGCTTAGAAATAGGGGAGGAGAGAGGGGTGGCACAGAGGGGTTTCCATTCCATCTGTCCTTCATCAAAGCTGAGAGGTCACAGCTGTGTCCATTTGCTCAAGCAAATTAACCCTTCAAAGGTACCTCTGCACTACTAAATCTGCTAAATCAGTATTTTCTAAAATCAGCAACTTTAAGATGTGTAGATTTCTGGGAGTGAAGATCATACACTTAAAGTTTGCCAAAGCTGAGAAACACTATGCTTAATTATGGCAGTGTAACTAATCTTAATAAAAATGATTGAATTCTTGGCGTTATTGTCAAGTTTACTCTGACTGAGCTTTGTATAATTTTTAACATTAGTTGGAGAGGCAAGAGATCTGTACATTTTCAAAAGTAAAACTGCAAATAATTTTAAATGCATATTGTTGTTTTTTCAAGGGCTGGGCATACTGTATGTTTTTATCAACTGCACTGAAATAAAATAATATATTAGCTAGACAATTTATGTATGAGCATGAATGAAAAACAGATTTTAAAAATTACACTCTGTATCTCCAGTCTGAAATTCATTCAAATTCAAATGAATAATAAATGGAATGAGAAATAGTCTAAGGGTGATACCATGCCAAATGTCTGTTTTTAAAAAACTTTCACAATACATTTATAGCATTTTATTAAAGGGTATGTGTGTATTCTGATTAATGTGATTTTAGCACAGAACTTAAGATTTTTTTGGGGTGCAAAATGGTAATTTTTACTGGTACAAAGCTCCACTTTGTAACTTTTACTCATAAATGGGAGAGCTGCAAAGTAGCTATCATACAGCTGAAATGTGTACTTACCAAGTATCTTAATTAGTTATGAGGAATGTGAGTATACTTTGTCCAGATGCATAATTCTAATTACACAAACTCTAACTATGTATTTGCTTCTTTATCAGGAAGAAAATACAAATACACTTCCAATGCTCGGTTCTCAGCAATGCTTAGTACAGTGTTTCTCAACTTTGGCAACTTGGAAGATGTATAGACTTCAGCTCCCAGACTTACCCAGCCAGCATTCTGTGAGTTGAAATCCACACATCTTCAAGTAGTCAAGAATGAGAAACACACTAGGTCCAATAGCAGCACAAAATAGAGACATATGTTAAATTACATGTATATTTTTTGGTAATCAAACTTGATGCCCAGTAAATTATGCATATATTCACTTATTCTGCTGGACTTACTTTTAATCTATGAAATTCTGGGGAAAGCCTGGGGTAAAGGGACTACAGAAATATATGGACTTTCAAAACAAAAATAGGGGCAGAAAATATTATACGCAATCCTTGCTTAATGACTTTAATTGGGACTGAAAACTGTGGCTAAGTAAAGTGGTCGTTAAGTGAAATATCATGGGACTGCACTGCTTAGTACTGGCTGTTGTAGCAGTCCCAGTTGTGGTTGTTAAGTGAATCACCTGTGATTGTTCAATGAGACATCATGCAATTGCAACTTGCAACTGCTTGCTGGTTTCCCCATTTTGCCTATCAAAAGCTGGCTGGGAAGGTCACAAATGGCAATTGTGACTTGCAGGATACTGCAACTGTTATAAATGAACAAATTGTATTTATATGACCGCAGGGATCATGAGACAGTCATAAATCACTTTTCCAGTGTGGCTGTAATTTCAAACAATCGCCTAATGGATTATTGTTAAGGAAGAACTATACGTAATCCAAAATAAAGAACAAAAATACGTAAAATTAAGCATTGTGTACATCAATTCTGACAAACAGAATTGTGTACCCTATTTGCCAATACAATTTACCAGGAATTTCCGCTTCTGTTTCCAATGGCTGCCTTGGGCATTGGTGCTGCAGTGTGCATCCGTAGCAATTCGTATCAGCTCCCATTCTTCTGGGGTTGGCTCCGGCCGGTGCTGAAGGGATTTCAACATTTCCTCTTTGCGCCGTCTCTCCCGGTTCTCTTCAATCAGCTTCCGTTTGGCTACTCTCTTGGAGTCATCCAGCACCACTAGGAGGGTGGTGAAGAATGAAGAGGTATGAGAGGAGGGGGGACTTCACATAGAGCCAATCAGAATTCTGCAACCAATTTGGCCAATTCCAAGGTGCCAGAGGGAATTAAGGATGATAGGATGGCTTAATTAAAACCTTAGGGAATACTAGGACAGCTCTCATGCTATTCCAAGGAGTCAAAATATAGGGATTCAAAGATGGTTCCTATGCAATTTTACACACCAAATTATTTCCCTCTTTTGATCCTTCAACGTGCATCCATTTTGGGGGCACATTTCTTCTCCTCTGCTCCCTGTAACCATTCCCATTCCCATCTCCCCAATTCCCCCCCTCCCCAGTTCTCCATAATGGGCGCAATGCCCTTACAGTCCATGGCCATGCCAACAGCAATGCACTTCTTGAATCGACAAAGTTGACACTGGTTGCGGGTGATCTTATCGATGACACAGGAACCATCATATTTGCAGGAGTATGTTGGATGCAGGTTTTTCTGAATGGTCCGTCGAAAAAAGCCCTGTAGAACAGAGAACACAGTGAGACCCAGGTAGTCCTTAGAAAGCAGAGCATGTATTCTTTGATTCTCTAACCCTATTCCACTCTCCCTAACCCTTGAACTTCTATACTCCATCAAAGAGGATACAGTCCTGTTGTACATAGTGCTATTGACTTTCCTAACTAAACAGACCTTTACTGATATACTGACAGATATGTAATCATAGAGATGACTGAGGTTAAAAAAATATCATTTTAGTATTTGGAACAGTAGGTTGCTATCAGTGTGAATTTGTGGGTTTCAAATTGTAAGTATTTCTATGGTTCTATCCCAAGATATAGTCACCTTGAGATATTCTGGTACCATGGTTTCTTAGGAATGAATACGGGACAGTTTACCAGGAAACTATAGTCTTTCTACTGAATCCTCTAGAGTTTTCGTTTATTTCATTGAGCCTTCTGACATAAACTTTCCAAAGGATAACATCTGGGAACTGGTTTTTTTTCTCCCCCACTACCAACCCTTAAATTTTTCTTAAGCCTACTATTAGCTTTTAAACTTTTTCAGCCCAGGACTAATTCTATAGTTCAATGCAGAGCTGGCTGGCATTTTGCCACAATTGAGTGATTTATGATGCCACTTGAATTTTCTGCCCAAGGCACTGTGTCTGCTTACAGTTTGTTTGTTTTTTATTTAAGTCTGTGTTTCTTTTACCTTTTGGTTGTTGTTTTTTTAAAGTAAATAAAAAGAAAGCAAAGGTAATGCTTTTTAGCCATACGTCAGGTACAACCTACTTGTGAAACAGCATTACACAGCTGGGTATAAGGGCACTATCTTTTTTGCCTTTCTGTGCAAGCAATTTTAATTGTTTTACTTATGAACTGGTCAGAGTCATGTATATAAAAAGGGCAAGCTATAAATTTACTAACTTAACTCATTCTTCAAAGAGGTTGCTGCAAAATGGTAAGATCAGTCCTACCTAGAGGGTTCTAACTACCAAAAGTAACATCTTGTCAAACCACATGAAACAGCTCTCATGCGATTTTTATAATGTATAAATAAAGAGAGAAAAGAAAAAGAGCAGCTTGCATCAACTGTTAGGATGGCTCTTGAAACAAATAGAAGTGGGGGGAGCAGGAGGAAGAATGGACTAATAACAAAGAGGGAAATATACTCTGGGTGTATTCCAAGATATATTTATGTTTGTTACAAACTTTATATTTCCATATTAAATGTGGAACTGAAACCAGCTTTTATGATAGCACTTTACTCAGTCTCCATCCAGAGTCTTTTAATGGCCACTCATCTTTTCCCCATCCCCATTCAAGGAAAAGTAAACACAACTGTGCACCAATCTGAAGTACTACAAGAAATTGTAAAAAAGTTCTAGAAAATGTCTCTGTTTCAGGCATGCAACCAAATTCTTGTATGTGTGCTTAATATTATCTTGCCTCTCTGTATACAAAGTAATTATTTATCAAATTGAAAACCTCTTTTTTCTGCCACTGTGTTCTGAACTGTGTTTGAACTGAACACCCGTAATCCAGATCCAATAGTGAGTTGACTTGGGAGAAAATAATTGAATGAGGCCAAGAATGAAGATTTAATTCCTCTTATTATAATATCCGCTGCACTTTACATTAAAAGAAATACCTCTGCGGAATTTAAAGACATGCAAACAAGCACACGTTTCATATACCTTAACTGTACAATGTCAAAGTAATGACATTAATAAAAACAATTCAATAAATACGCCTAGAAAATCTACATGTGCCCAAGAATCTAAAGACCTGAATTCCAAGTCATATTGTTACTAAGTCCACCATAGATGACACATTGCAGCCCCCAAAGGCACACACCCCCAATAGCCTCCTGTAGAAAGAATAGTCTCCTGTTCAGGCATGGCTCCCAATTACCACAAACTAGTTGTTGAGCCCCGTGGGCCTGACATTCATGGGCAGGCGGCGACCCGCCTGCTGAACCGCCACCTCCCCGTGCCCTCACCAGCCAGAACCACCGCCAGACCTCCCAGCTGACAGCCGCAGGTCCGGAGGGTCGTCAGCTGACGGGTGCAGGAGTTCGGCACTGCAGCAGCCTCCTGGCTGCCCGCTTCCTCAGCTGGAGCCATTGCCGCGGATGGCAAGCTCACCCATGGCAGCGCCAGCTGACGGGTGCAGGAGTTTGGCAACGCAGTGGCCTCCCGGCTGCTCACTTCCTCAGCTGGAGCCATTGCCGAGGCTTGCGGGCTCGCTGGAGGCAGACAGCGCATCCGGGGACATTGGGGCCGGTGCCTACAGTCTTGCACCTCAGCAAGGAGAGGCCCCGTGGTGGGAGCACATCCGCAGACATTGGGGAGACCAAACTGGCACCGCATTTGCGATGCAGTGGGCACTTTCAACGTGGCGGCACCTCCTGGAGGGGGCAAAGGAACTGTTTGAGGTCTGGACCGATCATAAAAACCTGGATGTACTGCAGACACCGAGACATCTGTCCCCTAAACACGTCCGATGGGCACAGTACTTCCGGCAGTTCCGGTTCCAGCTCAAGTATGTACCGGGGGGGGGGAGAATTTCCTGGCAGCAGGCAGCACATCCGTGGACATTGGGGCTGGTGCCTGCAATCTGGTGCCTCGGCAACTCGTTGAGAGGCCCTGCGGCGGGAACACGTCCACAGACATTGGGGACAACGCCCGCGGTCCAGCACTTCACCGGCTCGACAAGAGGACTCCCTGCGGTGGCCTAAGGAGGGGCCTCCCCCGCAGGCCATGGCGCGGGACACGGAGCGGTGCTGTGGGAGGCATCAGAACAGGGGGAGGGGTTACCTGCTTCCTGGAAAGTCAGACTCTGATGACCTGCCTGTGCACCAGCCAGAACGTGGAAAGGAGGCAACGTCCCGGTTGACTGCTTTTGAACTCTGCAGGCCAGATGGTATCTTGTGGGCTGAGGGGCTTGCGTGTGAAGAGGCTATGTAAAGCACTGGGAGCAGTTCATTCCCAGTGCTAACTTTTTCCTGCACAGATTAAACAACCGTTTGTCAACCGTACCTGCTTGCTAGCTCTTTCCTGGGCACTGAGGACGTCTTCGCACACAAGCCCCACCCCCCAGCCCACAAGCCACCATCCGGCCTGCAGAGTTCAAAAACAGCCAACCGGGACATTGCCTCCTTTCCACGTTCCGGCTGGAGCACAGGCAGGCCTTCAGAGTCCGGCTTTCCAGGAAGCAGGTAACCCCTCCCCCTGTTCTGCCGCCTCCTGCAGCACCACGCCACTCCGTGTCCTGCGCCAAGCCTTGGCAATGGCTCCAGCTGAGGAAGTGGGCGGCAAGGAGGCCGCCGCGGTGCCAAACTCCTGCACCCGTCAGCTGGCGCTGCCGCTGGCAAGCCCACAATCCTCGGCAACAGCTCCAGCTGAGGAAGTGGGCGGCCGGGAGGCTTCCGCGGCGCCAAACTCCTGCGCCCGTCAGCTGGTGACCCCCCCCCAGACCTGCGCTCGTCAGCTGGGAGGTCTGGCGATGGTTCCGGCTGGTGAGGAGGGTGACGGGAAGGCGGTGGTTCAGCAGGTGGGTCCCTGCCTGCCCATGAATGTCGGGCCCACAGGGTTCGACACTAATTAATTATAGGAAAATTTCTGTGGATTCGATTCCTCTACAATAGGGGTGTCAAACTGCCAGCCCACTGGCTGGCTGTGTCACAAGGAAACCGCGCCCACCCCATTGCCGGCAATGAGGAAAAAGCTCCGATACGTCCGCGACATCACATGATGTTGCGAGTTTAACATGTCTGCTCCACAACGTGCATGGCTGTAGAATGCCCCTTGTATTTTCTGCTGCAGGGTCTAATGCTGACCCTAACGCAGCTTATAGCAAAGACATTCCGTCTTTGAAAAAACAACAACAACGACGTTATTTTGTCTGCAGAAACCCCCTTATCTTACAGTCTTGTACAATCTTTCATCAGCCACATCTTCCCAATTTCTTTACTGTTTCCTATTATCATTGATTAGTCAAACCACATAATTTCTTCTTCCTTTCATTTTGGGCATTAAATATTGATTATAAAATTCTCCCAGACATAATATTTTAATTTTTTGGCCCTTCATAACTCAAATAATGCTAATCATACATAATCGTAACTGAAGTGTGGTAGCCAGAGTAGTGAATTTGGACTGGGAAGATACAGATTCAAAAACATACCTTTCTTAGTTGCAAAACTCATTAGGGAACTTTCAGCAAATCAGCATCTCTGTGCCTTAATACAGATAGCCCTGCATATATCCTACAAATATGATAAATAACTAGTCATATTTGCAGATTTGGGGTACAGATAATGGTATTGAGAAAGACTGGCAAATAGGGCAAAGATCAGGTATAATAAATACTAATTAGTATTCTGTAATTGGAAATCATGAAAATACAATGGATTTAACTTTTTTTCCCAGACTTCATCCAAATCCAGATGTTTTTGTAGCTTTTAAAGACACAATCTCCTTCTCCTTTTTCATTTTTCTAGTCCAGTGTTTCTCAATCTTTTTAATGCCGCGACCCCCAACCGGTTGTAAGTCGAGGACTACTCAACCAGTCGTAAGTCGAGGACTACTCAACTGGTGCAGCACCGTTTGCAGAATGGGACTTTTGGCAGGCTCAGCAGGGCAGAGACAGCCTGGACAATTCCTATTGGCTTTTGAAAGCCAATAGAATTAGACTCTATTCAAGAGAGTCTATTCTATTGGCTTTCAAAAGCCAATAGAATAAAAGGGAGTAGCACAGCTAAGGAAAAGGGGGAAAAAATGGCGGACTGCATTGTTTGGCAACCTCCGTGAAATGGTCGTTTGACCCCAAATGGGGTCCCGACCCACAGGTTGAGAACCACTGTTCTAGTCTAATCTTTCCCCCCCCAAATGCTAGCTCAAAAAGTTTTTATGAATTCTCCTCAATTGCTCCATATATGTTATGTCTGCTTGCCATCTCTAGTTCCTATCACCAAGTGACCAAATAACTCACATTACTTTCTGCAGAAGAAACCGTGTGATGCCATATAAAATGTTTGGGATGATTTACCATTATGCAGCAGAACCATGCACATAATTAATTTTTCTGGAATGAGTTAATTCAAACTGCAAAGAGACCTTCACTTATGAACCAAAATTGGGACCAAAATTTCCATTGCTAAACAAGGCAATTGTTGGGTTACATCTGATGTTATGACATATTTTCACCAATGTTAAGTGAATCACTTCAGATGTTAAATGAATCATTCAGTTGTTAAGCAAAATCCAACTTTCCCCATTAACTGCTTGTTGAAAGCTTCCTGGAAGGTCACAAAGGATCACATGACCCAGGGAAGATGCAACCATCATAAATACATGGCAGTTGCTAAGTGCCCAAATTTTGATCATGTGACTATGAGGATGTTGCAACAGTCATAAGTGTGAGGACCAGTCATAGTCACTTTTTTCAGTGCTATTGTAACTTCTAGTGGTCATTCAATGTTTGTATGTTGAGGACTACCAGTACTAAGGTACAGGAATTTTTCACAGGCACGTTGAAGTGTCATATACCATTTCTTGAGCTAGCAGAAATTATATTGGCATAGAATTTACTATTGGCAACCTATCCTGCCACAGACATGCTGTTAGCAAATGGCACTGATCTTATTTACAGTCTGCAGACATATTCAGAACAAGGATGAATTGATATCCCAGGCTTTGTTTCCCTCCTCTCCTACCTAATGTCACCAGCTAGTAGGAAAACATCTATTAATCACTCTCAATATAGATAAAGTTGGTCAGGTAAGAAATAAGTTTTGACAAAAGAGTGAACTGCTTGAGTTTTGTGGAAGTGAATTGTAAGTCAGCATGATTATCAACTAAGAATTTAGCTCCATTTGAGCACAAGTCTAGCAATATTTTCGAAGAATGCTAAACCTGTATGCAACCCTGCAAAACTTGTATGCAAAAGGACGAGGGGTGACATGATAGCATTGTTCCAATATCTCAAGGGCCGCCACAAAGAAGAAGGGTTAACCTATTTTCCAAAGCACAAGAAGGCAAGACAAGAAGCAATGGATGGAAACTAATCAAGGAGAAAAGCAACCTAGAACTGAGGAGAAATTTCCTCATAGTTAGAACAATAAACTTGCCTTCAGAAGTTGTGGGTGCTCCATCACTGGAGGCTTTTAAGAAGAGACTGGACAACCATTTGTCTGAAATGTTATAGGGTCTCCTGTTGAGCAGGGGGTTATACTAGAAGACTGCCAATGTTCCTTCCAATTCTGTTATTCTGCTAACCCAAACAACTGATAGACATTGGATGAATTGCATCATGAAACAGCAAAGAGAAACCTGTTCTGCTTCACCATATAGTTCCCCTCAGGCTGATCCAAGTCTCTGAGCCTGAAATTGGGAACAATCTGGTTTGAAAGAACAAGGACACTCATGCTGCCTGGAGCAGACTGACCTTGGATGACTGCACCAAAGGGCTGGAGAGTAAGAGGCATGCCTGTAACAGCCCAAGTGGCCAAAAGTTCCTAACCCTAGAAGGTCACTTGACTTTCGCACCAATTGAATGGTCACTTTCAGATTGGTAAAAGTATCACAACCTACTGACTGCTTAAAGAGCAAAGTATTACTGTATACTGAGGATGACTTTAAACTGCCTTGGGAATGACTTGAGATTCAGGTGAAAGCAATGTCAGAAGGTTATGGGGGAAAAGGTTGCTGGGCTGTATTGCTGCTGTGATCAGGTGCAGATGTGGAAGGCCCTTGGTTGAGAAACACCTTTCAAGTATTTTTTACCTTGCAGCCTTCACAGGTAATACAGCGGTAGTGGTATCCTGTGGCTTTGTCTCCACATACAACACACTGCTCATCTTTGTCCAAATAGCTAGGGATGTACCCTGTAGGAGAAAGCAGCCAAGAGGTCAAAGCTAGAAAGATGAAACAGCAGCTGCAAGAGGTTAAGACTATTGAAGTAGACTAGAAAGCATTCTTGCCCATCACTCACACTCCATAGAGAAACAGAGCAAGATAGCAATAACTACTCCTTTGTGACTACTTACCAATATTTGTTAGTTAGATACATTTGTCCTTTGAACATAAAGTTTATATAAAGTGTTCATTCCCACTATATTTCTTTAAAACTGAACTTTAGGCACCATTTTATAAGCCAGTTCTGGTTCTCTGTGGTTTGTTTTTACAAAATGAGAACAAAATCACTTAAAGCTCAACATAACATCGGTTCTCTTAAGAAGGACAAGTAGCTAAACTTGCTATTCTGCAGTGCCTTAGAAGAATGTCAGGATGCAAAATCCCCTTTGCTTTGTTGACAGCAGGTAGAAGGTGGAGGCTTAGAACTCCATGACCCATCTTCCCTCAGAATAGAGTGTACAAGACGGTTCAAGTCCTGCTTCCTGGCTGAGTGACAGGAGGCAGTGGCAAAGCCTGGCTTGCTTGCTCCAAATCTTTCTGAAACGTCCCCCCTCCCTGAAATATTGATAAAGAGCAGAGAAAAGCGTAACCAACATGTATGTCCATAAGAGGCCCTTTGTCTCTAGGCAAGGAGAAGAAAGCAGCAGGCATGATCATCCCTGCTAATTACTCCATCCCCTTTGTATAACCTTGACTTTTCCATCAATACGAAATAACAATGTCCTCTCCTAGCTGTGCTCTTCCAATCCCTACTTACCCACTCCCACTCTCTACTATTGTGGCAAAAGGAACTGTTCTTCCTGTGGCTGTAATAAGGAGCTAGGCAGGGATATCACAGAAAGACAGACTATACAGTCTTGCTATAAAAGCTGGCATCTTTTTTCCATTGCCTGAGGAATAGCCAATAACAAATTACCTGTCACCATCCAAACTGCCTTTTTGGCTTGCTTGCCCTATCATCTCTACATTTCTTTTACCTATATTTATTCTTAATACCAACAGCTACAGAACCTATCTTGACTTTGGCTGAGAATGTTTCCCATTCAGTTCTGGGCTCAACCAGTTTGGCTTTAAGGATGTGCAACCTTTTTGGGTTGGCAGGCAATGCTCAGTGCTCCTTCCTCAGGCAATGGCTTCTCACCACTGTACCTTATGATCCTTTTTCCAGCCCTTTTGGCTTCTTTACTTGTTGTATCTGCTCTCCTATCTTTCTCTGCCTTCTTCCTTTCTCTCCCTCTGTTTCCCCTGCTATTTCCCCTGAGGCCCCTTCTCTGAAATTAAAGTGGGGAAGGGTTAAAGAATGCATAGATAGCTGCAGGATGTTTTCTTAATAGAGCTCCATGTTTTACTCAGCATATACAAAAGGTTCAAGGATGCATGCATGTCTTGAAACTTTGTGTGTGGGCGCACAACTCAACTCTGATTATGTGGGTCTTTGTTGAAAAGAAACTTCATGCTCTTCTCAAACGAGCATGCCATTAATATCTATTACGTGTTTACTGCTATATGAATGAACTTCTTTGATTCCTAGAAATGGCTGAGAGCTGATTCTCACATTACATTTTCCATATTGGACATCCCTTAGTATATAAAATGCATACTTCCCAACTAACCACCACCACCACCTATAGAGCACATGTAGATGTCACACAAATACGCCACTTTTTTTTTTTACAGTGGAACTACTGCCAATTCAAAATGCCTAATGAACATATTCCTAGGGAAATACTTGGCAGTTTGTATTTTTCCAATACACAGATATACGCATTCCCATGGACAAATCTGAATCGAATACTGAAAATTGTGTGTATAGGGCAGAAGGGGGAGGGTTGATAACGAACAGCATAATAAAAACAAATTTGCATTAGCAAACTTGTAGAAACAACATACTGAATCAATTTTAGGTGTAATAAAATACATTTAATAGACTTTTAAAATGGCTGTGTAATGATACAGAGCAGTGATAGTGAAACTTTTAGAGACCAAGTGTCCAAACTGCAACCCAAAACCCACTTATTTATCGCAAAGTGCCATGGCCCCATCAGCATTGTGATGCCCTCGGGGGTGGGGGGCGTGGCCACTGGGTGGGTGTGGTCATGGCAGACTGAGTGGGCGTGCCAGAGTGGGCGTGGCCACTTTGATGTTGCTCGTGGAGGGATGCCTGTGGGTGCTGGGCAGGATTGGGGGAGATCCAGGGGCTCTCTGGTGAATGGGGCAGTGGGCAGGAGGCTCATCCTGCGGGGTAAGGCAGGGGGTAGGGTGGGGGTGCCATTGCTATGGGGCAAGGTAAGGCAGGGGTGGCTGCTGCCTGACACCATCAGCCACCACACACAGAGGCCAGCGAGCGCATGGCGGCATGCTCTACCACCTCTACTCAAGCTTGCTAGCCAGCTGTTTCGCCTTCTTTGTGCTGGATGGGGCTGCTGCTCCGGGCGCCAGCGGTGGCCTAATGGACCTGAGCGAGCTGGCAGTGGCAGGTGTGCCCAGAGAGGGGTCTGAGTGCCGCCTCTGGCACGAGTGCCATAGGTTTGCCATCACTGATATAGAGCATGATATCTTGGCAAATATATTATTTTATTAATAAAAAACATCATTTTTCATCTTGGGTATTTATAATTTCCCAATGACAAAGAATACATAATTTAGTAAGTAAATTGATCTAAGCACTTCCAAATGAAAAGTGCTTAGATCAGCATGCTGGCTGGGGAATTCTGGGAGTTGAAGTCTACACCTCTTAAATTTGCCAAGTTTGAAAAACACAGCTTACTGACAGCTGTTACACGAAGTGATTCTACCAGTCTATATTGTTGATATTGATCAAAAAGACTTTCTATGGCTTAAGTAAGGATCCTTGTGTGGATATGCCAGAGACAAAGAATGAAGCCTTTCACAGGCAAACTGTGCTCTGCTATAGACCTACAGCCCTAAAAAACAGTTCTGGCAATCCTTTCTCCAAGTTTTGGTATTTTGGTATTAAGACAATAACTTTCAGGAAAAGAAGAAATTCCATTTTCTGTTCTGGCCCACAGAGAACTTTCTAAATCTCTGGAATGCATAAAAGCAATAAAATCTTATGGAAGTCTTCCCAGATAGACTGAGAATCATTCGTAATAGCTTTTTTTAAAGGGCTAATTACACAGGAAAACACAATGATCCTGTATTTATAAAGGATGGCTTGAAAGATGCCTTCCTACAAAAGGGGTCGATCTTGTAAGGCAGCAGCACAAGCAAGTGCATGTAGTCCTCAACATATAATCATTCATTTAGACCATTCAAAGTTACAGTGGCCCTGAAAAAGGTGATCTGGGACGACCCCTTGCCTTTATGGCCAGCTCAGCAACTGCAGACACATTATCAAAATTTGGGCACTTGGCAACCGGCATGTATTTAAGACAGTCACACTGTCTGGGGTATGTTTAATAGCCCTTTGCGACCTTCCAAGATGGCGTCTAACAAGCAAAATCAATCGGGGAAACTGAATTCTCTTAACAGCCCCAGGATTCACTTAACAATTGCAGTAATTCTCTTAACAACCATGGGAAAAAGATCACAAAATTGGGCACAATTCATTTAACAAGTGTGTTGCTTAACAATGGAAATTCTGGTCCCAATTCTGGTCATAGGTCGAGGACTACCTATATTTGCATTTGCTGATTGAGCAGAAGCTATGATATCACTAATGTAGCCTCTACAAAACAGAACAAGAAAGTCCCGAGCAAGTTGTTTTCCAACTTTAAAGAAACTTTTGGCAAGTCTTTTTTTTTTTAAGTGAAAAGTGACTTGGGGAATATGTTTTTAATACTTGAGAATACATAAGACAGCTTTCTTCAAGCCTGGGACAAAAATGAGAGCTGAACCCAAGAGGAGGAAGATGTGATGGATATGTCCACCACCTTGAATTATTTGTAAATATAATAAAGCTAGGATACAGATAAATAAACATACAAACCTATATAATTCTCCAAAAGCATATATAAATATTAAAATACAATGATTACAAAGCAACAGGTGCAAGCTTTCTCCCTGTTATCCATAAGCAGCTACAAAAACTATTTTACGTTTAGCTGAATTTATTTATAAACTTCCCCACAATCAGTAATTCTGCCTTATCACAGTTTCTGATTAGAGAGAAGTTTGGCAAGTACAACTGGAAGCACATTTTAGGTGTATCTTTACGCCATCAAATATACATATGTACACTGTGAAAACAGGCAGATGCTGGAACATCCACAAAAGGAAGATTTATCACATCTTCTGCTCTAATTGTTTTATTTTAAGTATTTTAAAAAGAGCGTGGTCATATGTAATTCTGCTTAGCATTTTAAGCTGCATCCAATCGGATACATGTAATTTAGCACATTACATCCAAAATCTCCTCACTCCAGCATGACTGACTGTTTAGGGCAAGTGGCATAAGTGATATTATGAATATCATGATGTCATCATGCAAATAACACAATAGAAAACTCTACTTAATCTGAACGATGGCTCAGTGGTTGAAGATGCTGAGCTTATCAGCTGGAGAGCTGACAGCCCAGGTTTCAGATCTGAGCTCTGCACAATGGGGATTACTTGTTCCAGCTCCTGCTCACCTAGCAGTCCAAAAGCATGCAAATCCAAGTAGAGGTGGGAAGGTAATAGCCGTCCGGGAGCCTTTGGCATATAGCCATGTTGGCCACCTGACCACAGAAAATGTTTTTGGACAACACTGGCTCCCTCGGTCAAGAAACAGAGATGAGCACTGTGCCCTTTAGTCTGATACGACTGAAAGAGAAACCTTTGCCTTTACACTCATTCATTCTTCTATTATTATTATTTTTTTGGGGGGGGGGAGAGAAATGGAAGTGAAAAGTGGTTTAGTCATTATTTGAAATATCTGGAGTCCACTGGAGTTGGACAGTCAATAAATTTAAATAAACAAATAATTTATGACTGGTTCAAATTTTACCTCGTGCACCTTTCCTAACTCTACAACTCGTAACATATTTAGGCTGCAAAGTTACCAGCAATTTTTAAAAGTCTTAAATAATGATTTTTCAGAGGAGTTTGGGGCAATTTGGAAGGACCTCATTTTGTTCTCCAGGTGCTTCTTACTTCTAACAAAATTGGCATACACACCCACACAGTTTTTTCATGTTTGTTTAAAGTAGGACTGTAGCAATCCTAAATTTCACAGCCATAACTCTTTGGCTTGCACAGAATTGGTATGCTTTCATTATTTCAATTACATCTTATCTACAGGACAGTTGGAGGGTATAGCTTGAGCACCATAGTCAATCACTGTGTTTGGAGATGAGTTTTGACTTTAGCAGCAAATTCTGCTTTGTGCTTCCACCTACTCCACAACTCCAGAACTTGGCCCAAAATTGACGAAGTTTTAGTCAACGAAATTACAAAATACAGATGACTGAAAACAAAAATGCCTGCTGATAGATACCTAGCACACCAGGAAGAACAGTTCTAGTTTAGCCCCTTTGTTATATTTTTTATTTAGAAGGAATGTTTAAACATGTGAAAGTATGACTCTTTAACCTGCTTCTGAAGCACTGCAATCCATTCTACAGGCGTAACATTCTGTTATTTCATTTTATTAGGTTTAATATGTTCTTAGTTACTGAATGTTTTTCATACTATGAGAGATGCACATAAATAACATTGCATCTGTCATTTAAAAAAAAGACAATGAAAGTAAAGAATGATGACTATTATTGAAACATGGAAGGAGGAGTAAAACTGAAAAGTGAACCATGATTTGACTTTCAGACACAGTGCCTATCTGCTATGTATTGTGGAAGTTAGGTTCACATCAGAAATTAATGTTCCAGTAGAGTTCATATATATTAATTGAAGATTTGATTTGAAGATTATTAACAATTGAACAATCAAGAAAAATGTTAAAGATTATAATCATATAGACACATTTCAAGAATTATTTTTGAAAATCACCCCTTGCATATTTTGTAAACACAGATAAAAGATATTGTTTTAATCTGGTAAATTAAAGCAGGCTTCCAAGGTAAAGATTATGGTCTTGCATGTCAAATAAAGCAGATTGTTCTCATTTAGTGATGTAAATGATATGTGAGAAAGACGTTGGGAGACCGGGCCAAGAGATACTGCCTAGGGAGCAGTCAGATAAGAGAGAGGCAAGAAGCTCAGATGAGACTTCTTGGGCTGTAAAGAAGATGGTAGGAAATTTACACTTTCAGACTTGCAAGATTTTGTTAGCTTTACACTAAAGTAGAATTAGTTCATCTAGTCCTGTTTCCTTTCAGGACTATCTAGTAAGACTGACAAATGATCACAATCAAGACTGGCAACTCGGTTGTTAAACGAAGCAGTCACATTGCAACTGTGTTATGATCTCAATTCAGATTTTCTTTGCTTTACAGACATGTGGAGGTCATAAATGCGAAGAGTGGTAGCAAAATTATGGTTAAATCATCATTGTAACCGCAAATGATTGCTAAATGAAGCAGCTGCTAAACGAGAATTATCTGTAAATAAAAAAAGACATGCACGGTCCCTAAGACAGCCTCAAACTAATGGGAGTTAACTAACTATATGTTCCACACATCCTCCCCCAAGCAAAGCTTCCAGCCATGCTGTTGAGGGATTATGAGAATAGGAGGCCAATGTATCTGGATCAAGTTAAAAGAGAGTACCATAAAATACTCATAAAAATAATGGTGTTATATGTTATGATTTATTTTCTAATCACAAACTTTCCATAATAATAAAGTTTCTATGTGCTGTAGATATATTAAAAGTCAGGATAACCTCTGCCTGCAGTTTTGAAAGCTGATGAACATGAAACAAAAAGAATGAGGAAAAAACTAAAATAGAGCAAGACAGCAGTTCTCTTCTGGCTGAGGAATGAAGTCCGGTTGGTCTTAGTCTTGCTATAGCCTCCTTTTGACCCTAAGTCTCCTCACAGATGAAAGAAGCCAGATCTGCTTCCTTTCTGCTGTCCCCTGGCAGATACATTGTGAACTTAAACCCAATACTCATTCTCTGTAGAAAAATCTGGGAAGAATTTTCTAAAGAGGAAACTAACCCCAACTTGCCAGATTCTTGGAGGAAATGAAAGAAAACCAAGAACCTTTTTAGTGCAGATATAGGGGCACTGCCTCTTTTCCTAGCCTTGTGGTATGCTTCGTTTTACACAGACCATTCTTTAACTGTATGCACAGTAACGGCAACAAAGCTGCTAAAACCTTATGAAAAGAGTTTTCTTCAATGTGGTTTATCCAAAGGGCGAATGTATATGAATGCGAAATAATCCCATCTACTTTTTTATTTTTATGAGAAAAGAATGAAAAATGTTATTTCTAATTTGCATTTCACATGGACATACCTCTTCAGATCTGTAAAAATGGAAGTAAATATGTTCTGCAGCTGGCTAGAGAATTCTGGGAGTTGAAAAGTTACTAAGATTGGAAATTCTGGTTTATATTCTTTGTTTAGCCTCTATTTAAAAACAAATCAAATAAACACTGCTGATGGGTGGATTAATGTAAAATTATTGCCATGCTGCTGCATCACTTTAAAAAACTCTCAAGAATTAAAATTAAGAGTTTTGAACAGCATATTTTAATAAGAGGGAAAATGAAAAAATGTTGACCATGGCCAGGTCTTGAGAGGTGTAGGAAGAGATTGGCTAAACGGGGATAGAAAAAAAAATCACACAAGGGGGAAAGATGTGGTCTGGCATTCTTTTGCATTCACCAGTCCACATGTGATTCTCTCTTGCCCCATGACCCACTGTGGCCTCACCTTTAGAATCCCGCCCCCAGCTCTTTAGTGGTTTATCTTCCTATTGCAGGCTCTGCTATTTGACATTCGATATCTTGAGGTGCCCCATGACTGCCTTTTCTGGACTAGTGAAAAACATTTAAAAAAAAACACAACCCCCCCTCAATAGGTTCAAGTCAAAGTTGGATACATTCTGGGGATATTGTTTTATTTAAATTTGTCAAAGCAGGTTTCCCCCATCTCCTTTAATTTCTTCTATCTTTCCAATCCTCTGGAATATCAATCCTTTGTTATATAAGTATAATAATAACTTTGAAAGCCAGTTTGGTCAAGTGATTAAGGCATCAAGTTAGAATCCAGGAACTCTGATATCTAATCCTGCTTTAGGCATGAAAACTGGTTGGGTGGCTTTGGGCCAGTCACTCTCAGCCCAATTTACCTCACAAGGTTGTTGTGGAGAAAATAAAGTGAAGTGAGGAGTATTAGATATGTTCACTGCCTTAGTTATTTATAAAAATAATAAAGGCATGATATAAATAAATACATAAACAAACAATAAATACATTTTTAAGAAAACTCAGTTGGAATAATTGTTCCACTATTAAAATCTAATTAATAATGTGATTTAAGAGGAATTTCCAAAGAAATACATGCTTGAGTACAAGATAGGAAGCTAACAGAGATCCTGTCCCCTTAAATCTTCATGGAGATTTGCAAATCTCCATAAAAAGGCTTACAAATGGTAATGCCAGACCTTCCAAATTTGTAACTGACAAAGCCAAACAGACCTGTCGCTATCAGCTGGATATGGCCTTATATGATTTTTCTGCCTGCTTAGGACAGTGGAAAAACAGAACAATCCTGCTGTAGTTATTACAAAGTGCTATCATCTTTGGATGGATTGTTTTCTACCAAGTAAAAGTTCTGTTCTTACAGCAAAGGAAAGAATCCTAAAAAGTGAGTCACTTCCTCAATATCCTGCTGGCAGGACTACAAGGAAATGTACTGTCTTCTAGTATCACAGAAGAGATAAGCACATTGATCTCAAAAATTCTGAGCATTGGCACACTTGGAAGAGATGCTTACCTGACATATTGCTTTTCACCGAACATTGGCTGCTTTTTCTTTTACGTTTCCCATCCGGCCACCTTCAGAGAAGAGAAAAAGGAGAGAATCTGTCAGAAATATGGAGTTTTGCGCATTCAATTTATCTTTCTTGCTCATCTGCTCAAACCTTATCCCCTGCCTCAAAAACGTTCCCAAATCACCAGAGATCAGCTCACCCTTTTTCTTCATGGTGCAGCATTTCCATTATCCTACACTCTTTAAGAAATCAGGAGGTGTGAGCAGTACAAGGGGACTTATCTGAGAAGAACAGAAGTGATAAAGAGGTTGGGAAGATGTTTTAATGCACATATGCATGGTTAACCCTCTCTAGGGCCAAGATTCCCATGCTATCCTTCACACAAGTAAGAGTCCTGCTATTCTGTTCTTACCTCAAGCTAGAATGGACTTTATGCAGGAGATCAAAAAAAGGGAAGTTAAATTATCAGAAGGCACTTAAAAGAAGCTAACCCAACCCAATCTAAGGTCTTACTTCTTGCATTGAGATTTATGGCTACCCTAAAAAGAAGTGAGAGGTTGTCATCACAGCATTACACTTGCCCAAGAAGCTCAGGGTGATTGTTCCATTTAATCTTGTGACAGCTTTTTAGTATAGGTTAGGACTTAATGACATAACCTATCCAAAGTTAACTTCTGCCTTAAGATAATACCTTGCTGGAGTAAGAAAATGTGATAGAAAGAAAGGTGTAAGTTACAAGAATCCTTTTGGTAGCTGAACCATAAGTGTCTATGAAAGGGAAGAGGAAAAATTCATGAAACATTGGAAATTCCTGCTAGTACAAAAAAATAGAGTCCCAATTCAGCTAATATTTGCAACTATACCCAATATTTTGTGCACATGTATTTAATTTGTGTTATTAAACTTGGATGGTATACTTTATTAATTTGAAAAGAAGATTCAAATTACAGTATTTGGGGAAAAGCCTAATTAAAGATTGTTATAAATTGCCAGAAGTATATATATATATATTTTTTAAGAAAAGAATAGATGATTTATTGATTACTGACCCAAACTCTAATGAATAATCAAGGAAAATTTATCAAAACTGTCTATTACCCAATGGTCTGAAATTAAATTAATTACCAAAAATCCTATGAAACTTTAAATGTTTCAGTAATTTGAGTACAGTATAGTATGCAGAATCTGAGAATATTTTTTTTCTAGTCAAAGATCTGAGAAATTGTTTTTAGAGAAAAAAAATCTTTAAAATAAATGTTAGAAATTTCTGATAATAATTCTTCCAAAGATTTCAGACAATTAAAAACAGCTGAAAAAATGATCTTGTGTGTATAATTTATATGCATATATGACTGAGATAAAAATTTTATGTAGGTAGAATATTCTTAGAAAAAATGATTTTTTAATTAAAATATAAACTATATTTCTCTGCAAAATATGTACAGATACTCCTTATTTATAACCATTCATTTAGCAGTCATTTGAAGTTACAGCAGCACTGAAAAAAGTAACTAATGGCCATTTACAACAGTTGCACAGCATCTTTACATGTTTAAAATTTGGATAAGTGGCATGTATATACGAAGGCTGCATCATTCCAGTCATGTGATTGCCATTTGCAACAGTTCCAGCTGACTTCCAACAAGTAAAGTCAAATGGGAGAATCTGAATTCATCTAATGACCATTTGATTGACTTAACAACTGCAATGATTCACTTAAATGTGAGAAAAAAGGCCCTAAAACTGGGTGTGACTCATTTATCAACTGCCTTGCTTAGAAATGGCAATTCTAGTCTCAACTGAGGTAAAGAAATCAAGGACTAACTGTACATAGGAACACCTACATGCCCATAATCCAGGGAAAATCTGGCTTTTAATTATTTCAAATTATAGACCCTGTGCACTTTTTCCTAATATACCTCCAAAGAAACTGAATATTCTTAGCACTATTAGAGAAGGGGCAGAATTTATAGCTTCCATTGTAGAGAATTTAGTATTTCAAACAATTAGCATGGTATAGTAGGTTAAGATGTTAGACTAATCAGACTGAAATCTGCTATCGGCCAAGGAAATTCTCTTTGTATCTTGAATTAGTAGCTCTCTTCCAACCCAATTTATCTCACTGAGTTGATATAAAGATAAAATGAAGGCATAGGGTATAAGCTGCCTTGAATTCCTTGGGGAAAGACATTATAAAGCAAAGTAAATACATGAATTTCTCATACTAGATTGAGCTGTATGAACCTAGAGAGCCAGTTTGGTACATGATTAAGGCATTAAGCTAAAAATTGGGAGACTGGGAGTTCTAGTCCCATCTTGGACATGAAGCCAGCTGGTGACCTGGGTCAGCCATTTTTTCTTAGCCCTAAAAAACAGGAAATTGTAAACCACTTCTGAAAAACCTTGCAAAAAAAAGTGCAGGGACTTGTCCATTCTCTTAGAATTGGACACTATTGTATAAAAGAAAAAAAATGAACTTATCCAGCTGTGTTCATAATTACATCAGTTTAGCCCCTAATATCACTCTCTCCCCATCTTAGTTTCAAGATGTTTGTGAGCAAGAGAGGAAATTATTTTCCAGAAAAAGAAGGCTACAAAGATTAAGCCTGAATGCCATCTAAAATGCAGCAGGGTTGACTAAGACAAAGAATTTCAAGGTTCATCCACTATATAAGAATATATTCTTTGCAATATGTGATCTTGTGGGCAATTCTGTTGAGCAATTTGTTACCCACTGAAAAAAGCAATCCAGGTATTTAATGGGACTGTTCTAAGAGGCCTTCCTCTTGATGTTTATTGAGAACCTTCAGAAGAGGCAGCAGCAAAAGAGACTTCTTAATGTGCTAGAGGAGAAAAATACCATAGATATTCAAGTCTGATTCTATGCTAAAGCAACAATTGAGATGAAGCATTGTTATTTCTCCCTTATAGTACTGGCAGGCTTGTCAGTTAGCAGTTTAGTTAAGAGTAGAAGCAGCAGGTAGATCTCCCATTGTGAGCAGTTAGCATAGCATTCTGCTAATGGTCACTCCAATTTGCAAAGGATTGATTTTTTTATGGGGAGGGTCTATTACAAGTGATACAGGTAACATCTTGCCTAGACTCTGAGGTAAAAAGGTATAATGCTTTCCTAGCTATCTCTGGACATCTGTGATCTTGATCCATGCTTCTTGACTCTTCAAGGAATCTGAGAGGTATGATGAATTGGAATGAGAGGTAGTTAACATGTCTGTTAGGAAAAAATAGATGCTATTGGTTTTGTGGTATACCCTGCCTGAAAAGATCCTTTTTGGAGCTCTTTATATGGGACAACTATGGCTCTGTATCTAATATCCAATTCTTGGGTGTGAGATTGTATCAGGGTACAGCTGCAGAACACCTTAGATCAGTGGTGGCGAACCTATGGCACATGTGCCAGAGGTGGCACCCGGAGCCCTCTCTGTGGGCACAAATGCTGTTGTCACAGCCCCGCCTCCCCCTGCAACCGCCTCCTCACCAGCAGCCTGCCTGGAGGAGAGGCTCCCTCAGGTGCGGCCCACGCAGAGCAGCACAGCCAAGCACATGGCAGCTGGGCAGCAGGGGCAAGACTCCGCCCTTGCGCCCCATTATGTGCAGATGATGCTGCAGGGTGCAGGCGGAGGGTGTGGCCACCATGGCGCTGCAAGGCTGCCTGGGTGATCTGTGGTGAGTGATCCTGTGGGGAGTGGAGCGGGGGGCGGACCAGGGGGCGGGGCGGTTTTTGGGCACTTGGTCTCAAAAAGGTTCGCCATCAGTGCCTTAGATGAACCAGATTATTTGGATCATTTTCACTTAAGATTCAAGCTTGGATATGGGATGGACCATCTTCAGTTGCCCTCTGGATGACCTTTAATGAGATTTGAGAAACCTGCCCATCATAGTATTTTTGGATTTCTTAACAGCCCTCAATAGCATTAGCCTGGGATCCTTCTTGACATTGGCAGGAAGGGATTCAGAATTGGAACACTCATTCAGTGTCCATTTAAAGTTATGGTGGTGTTGACCAAGGAGGACTTATGATGGGTTCTCATATTGCAGCTCTCACAGCATCCCATAATTACATGGGGTGCTTAGCAACTGGCTTGCAATTATAAATCACAGTCTTCCCCAGCCACACAATTCCCATTTGTGACCTTCACTGCTGGTTTCTGATGAGCAAAGTCAAGGGGGAAACCAGCAGGAGATTATAAATGGTAATCACTTGACTGGGGGATGCTGTGATTGCTCAGAATTTGCCTGATGACAGAAACTGGGATTGCTGCAACTGCTATCATAAGTTGGTGCAATTATGTGATATCACACCTTATAACCAAGTTGCTTAGCAAATGAGTTTACAGTTCCAATTACCATTGTTAAGCAAGGACTACCTATACTTCTGCTCTTTTTCTTCAATGCAGTTCCACTCAAGAGATGGGGGATGAGAGAACGGCCAAGAGAGTTTGCTCTCTATGGAATGCTGCAAGGCTCAGTTTCTCTCCTCTACTTTTTTATATTTACATGAAGCTGCTGGGAAGTTTGTTGTGCAAACAGCAAAAGACATTTTGTTGAAATCTTGGCCTAGTGTCTGAAGGCTGTGAAGGATCTGGGTAGGGTTCGCATTTTTTTTCACTGAGCAATATCTTCAGAATTGCCATTTGACAGGGCAGCACCACTTCTGAAAAAAGCAGGTCTATATCTCTGGCATCCTTCTGAACCTGCAGCTACTGCTTGATGGTCAGATGGAAGCTGGAGACAGGGGACCTTTGTGCAGCAATGGCTGGTACACAAGGTGCAGACTTCACTGAAGCAAAAGACCTCCTGATGGTTAATTTACCACTTGTCTGGATTACTACAATGTGCTTAATATGGGGCTGCCTTTGAAAAACACTCAGAAATTTAAATTGCTCCAGAATGCAGCAATCCAGGTATTGGTTGCTACAGGCCAATATGGGCATATACTAATTTTCATTTTCTTTTATCTTTTATGAATATTTTACTGTGAGAAACATTAAACAGAGCAAAATAAAAGTATGATAATGATTAATTATAATTAGAAATTCTGCATAT